AAAGGTGAAAAATTACCAATATAATGTAAATACTTTCTACAGATAAAAAGTTGATATAAAGGGCTGGGGATTCAGCTCAGTGGTTCTACTGCCTGCCTCGCAAGCACAAGGACCTGAGTTTGATCCCTGGTACAAAAAGAAAAAGAAGAAAAAAGTTGATATAAAGGCAGATAGAAAACTATCCAGTGGAGGCAGAGAAAAACCCTAATACTTTCTTCTAAAATTAGGAAATTGAGTCCTGCACATCTAAGTAACCAGATGATTGGCACCAAGAAGTATGGCTCGGTTAAAAATGAAGATCAAATACAGTGTGGTGAAAGTGGCGAAGTCATTTTTATTTCAGTACTTGACAAAATACCCCATAAAATCCAAAACTTCTACCGTTATACAAAAATAGGTCTCTACAAGTGGTATACTCTGTCTTCATCACCAGTAGCAAATATATTAGGCAGAAACATGTAACTTCAGTAGCCTCATAAGAAAAGTGCAGGGAACCACAAGCTACACATCCAGCAGTATCATAATTTGCAAGTTTAATCTTTTCACCCATTTGATAAATACACAAGGTTCATAATTTAATCATTTAAATTAGCATTCCACAAATATACATGTAATTTAATGATTACTGTGCATGAATACATACACAATGCTTATATATACAAATTCCAGTTTGTTTTCATGTGCTGGCAAGGATTTGTATACAATCATAAGCTGTTTATAATGGTCCCATTGAATATTCACAATACAAAAACAAAAGAACCATTGATTTACAAAAAGGAATTTCTTTAAAATCACTTCATTTAATGTTTCAAAGGATTATCTTCTCATCCCAGTATGAAAATGAATGGTTGAACCTACAAGAGAAAAACAGGCCATTTCAAACTAGACCTCCTATACCAGCCTAATTCACACAAAACAGATTACTTGTATCCATCATTAAAAAAATGCCATTCATATCTGAACTGGGTTTGGTTTTCTTTTTTGTACTGGGGATTGGAAATCAGGACCTTGCGCTTGTGAGGCAGGTGGTGGCACCGCCACTGAGCTAAATCCTGGGCCCCTGAACTGGTTTGAAAAAGATTGATTATGTATTTGAAGGTCACCATGAGTGGCTCTTACATCAAGTAAGACGAATACTAAGGTGTACTATATAAAGTGCTACGAAAGTTGAATCAACTTGAAAAATCTTTGATCTTTAAAATCTAAGTCCTATCACTTCTCAGCCTTTTGCTAAGATCAAGTGCAAAATTTGGATGCTCAAAACAAGCCAAACCAAAGCAACAAAGAAACCTCAACTATGGTAATAAAAGTTTCCTCTAACTACAAACAACCTGCTGTTAGCCCATAGTTTGTGAGACTACTAGAAAAAACCTGTCCTTAATAAAGTTAAACATTATGAAAGTAGACTGAGAGCACAGTCACTTAAAAATTATTCAGTCTTTGGATCAGGAGTGAACTGAAGGGAGACTGGGGAAAGAGGTTTTTCCATAATGAACAGGGAATTCATCTGTACTATAAAGTATGATGCTTTGGATGTTTTTGAGAAGACAAATGGATCATTCTTATAATGTCTGTTAAATGGGGTATTTTCCCAGCATCCATGAGTACAATGGAGCACGAGTGATAATGGCTGCCTGACGTGCTGAAGGCAGCTGTGTCTTTGTACCATGCATTAGTAACTTCAGAAACACGTTCTCCAACTGACTAAAATTCACAGAGTACTTTGTACTTTGGTGCTCATTTTGCATGTTGTCTAATCTGCATGAAGATGGGGAATCATTTTTGGGTAGAACAGGATTCTGGGTGATAAATTATGTCTCAAATTCTTTGAAGGCTGTGCTGGTTACACAGAGTTTAAGCTTTGGCAAAGCTGGTAACTTGTGCATCGAAAGGAGATTTGAGTATCCTAAAAAGTGAGGATCAAGCAGTTTCAAACAGAAAGGAGAGCTGTGCATCTAGCATTATGGTGCTACCAAAAGCAAGTAAAGAGAGTACCTGACTGCACAGTTCCGAGTCGTCTTTGTAGCGCCTCTAGCCGGGTGATATAATCTGTCAGAGCTCTGTCAGGATCATAATTCTGAAGCTGAGAACATGCTAGGGAACCAGGATTTAAATCAGCTGGAGTGCCTGAGTACCTAAGGATTGAAAATACATACATGAATCCAAATTATCCAGAAATGATGGGACTAAGTTACCAACCTACCTCTACTCCCTGTGTCCCAAAGGCAGGCCATTTTATACATTGCCTGATCTACATCCTCCATGCTTGTAAGTTTGAGACGACAAGAACTCTTAAACAAATTCAAAAAAGCTACCAAGTCATCAGAAGAATGCCCAGTACAATGCCTCTCAGTAATGTTTTCAGGAAATGCTGGATATGTAAAATTCATCTGTGTAGACTGTAGGATTTTCATAATGGCCAGTGGCTTATTAATTGTAGTCAATATTTCACCCAAAGTCTAAATATAGCATATATCAACACATGGGCAACTCTATTCCCTATAATTTTAGAAACCATTTAAAAATTCAAAAAGTAGCTTTGATTCTGAGCCTTGGGTTATATAAATTACATATAGATAAAGATGTATAGCTATTGCAATGCAAGGAAGTAAAAGCCCTAACATTACCCATCTTTGCTGAATATTAATGTACTTACTCCACTCAGGTTTGACCAGATTCTTACCTATTTTGAAATGGTAAGGGAGACCTAGGATATTCCAGATCTGATCTTGAGCGGTATGTCGTATGTCTTGCTTCTCCATACAGCTCCAACCCACCAGAAGAGTGATAAAATGGATCCATTTTTTCAGCACCTAAAGTAACCCAAGATGTATCATTATAAAAAAAACAAAAATACCTAGCCCTTGGAAAAGTTCTACAAGTACATCAGTTCTCAATGGACTAGTACACTATACTACACTGTGTCCTAGTTGTAGACATTTTTGATTGTAGCTAAAGGAGAAAACAGTACAAACAAATCTGGTTTATTTGCAGTCAAGATTTTATAGCTTTGAATACAACACATTACTCAGTGTGATAAACAGTTTTGCTGTTGAAGTAGACACCAAATATACACATTTCCCTTTTCTCTGTTGCTCAGCTTTTAGCAGACTATCCAAAGGCAGCTTAGTACTGAAAACAGGATAGCTATGCTGTGTCCTCTAACTCTATGCTCTGGGTTTGCTCAAAATGTTAAAGACTAATGTTTTCCTCCTTCCTTCTAGGTGTATACAGAAGGAAGTTTAACTCACTGCCACAGTGCAATGTACTAATAAACTCAAGAACTGTCTGAACATCGCTAAACTGTGGAAATGAACCATAACTATTACACGTGACTGAGCAACTCTCTCTTGAACCAGGACTTGAAATGCATGTTGAAGGAACATGGGCTTTAGCCAGGCTGCCAGGGTTCGGTCCTGGCTCCACTACTTCCCTAGAGGATGAATATGTTTAGGGCCCAAGAATATGTTTTCCACAGCTCGGTTTCTCACCTGTGCTGTGAGAATAACAGTGATTGTGCTTACATTATAGGACTTGAATACTTAAAAAAGCAGGGCTTGTGTAGACATTATGATCCATAAAAATCAGCTGTTAATATGCTTTTTAAAAGAATAAGGTTTCCAACCTTGTTGAAGAGTCTGCCTCTGGACAACACTGGTTCCAGAATTAATTATTTAGAAAATATATATGCAATAATTTTAGTCATAAATATAATATGCTATTTTGACTTCACCTGGATGCAGCCCAAAGCCATCTCTGTTAATATTGATGGAATCAGAACCTGTGACTCGGTGCCACCGACGAACCAAGAATTTCATTCTAAAAAAAAAAAAGACCCCAAAAGGAAATTTCACAGAATACCTATAAAAAACTGTCAGTTAAATAAGCACATAGAGCAAATTTAAATACTATTACATGGTCACCTATTTTAAAACTATAAATGTCCCTAGCTTGTAGGAAAATTAAATGTAAGAAAACAGTGCTGCAGGGCTGGGGATTTAGCGCAGTGGTTCCAGCGCCTGCCTCACAAGCACAAGGGCCCAAGTTTGATCCTGGTAACCACAAAAAAAAAAAAAAAAAAAAAAAAAAAAAAAAAAAAAAGAAAAGAAAAGAAAATAGTGCCGCAAGCTTGCCTTCCCACGAGGCAAGAGAGCTCACAGCATTATGAGCATAACATTCTGGCTTTAGGGATAAATGAGACACTAGGTGACAGAGGGCAAAAGTAGACAGGAAAACAATGGACAAGCAAGGAAAGGGTAAAAAGTAATGAGAGCAGAATGGAGAATGAAAGGGTAAAAGAACAAAAAGACCCTTAAATTGGCAGCCAGAGTGAGCTAGGAGCTGGAGGCAGGGTAAGGCCATGTCATCAGCAACAAAAACCAGTGCTGGCTAAAAGGCAAGGGATTCTTAATGGCAGGAACTAGCGAGGCAGCTGCTTGGCTCATCTGGGCCCACGGAACATACTGGAGTGCCAGCTTTGATTTCTGAATTCTAATTAGTTTTGAAGTGCAGTGTTTTTTGAGGCAGGATATCAACTCAAATTCATGGCAATCCTCCTGCCTCTGCCTCCCAAATGTTGGGATTATGAGCATGTGCCACTATGCCTCACTTTAATGTTCAGTTTTAGGAGGGTCAAAATCAATGAACATAAAAGAGGACAAGAAACACTGAGAGAACAGCAACTTTCATACTGCTCCCACGGAGCTTTCTCAGATGCCTCTATTCATGATCACTGCTAAACTGTGACCTCCCACTGGGTCTTTGATGAGTTTTGCGCATGCTGCTCTTCCCCACCAGGGAGCACGGGTTTCAGGCAGACACTGCATCTCCTAGCACTTAGCCTGAGTGTGCTCTACACAAGGTGATGAAGGCACTGGGAGGGAAAGAGGAGCTGGAGCTGGGTGACGAAGGCCAACGATGGCACACCTGAAAGCCAGTGGGAGTGGGATGTGGGAGAACTGGCTGGCTGCTCCCGCCGGGCCTGTAACCTTCCCTGCCTTTTTCCTCATTGTGAACCGAGATTCTGTACTAGGCCATCTCGCACAACTTCCACTTAAAAAAGTATACCGTGTACCATATTTTTCAAAGAAAAATAAGTCAGGAGAAAAAAAAAAAAAAAAAGACCAAAGCATTGTAAAGAAGCATCAGATGTGACCTGGCCAGTACACGTGAAGAGCAGAACTGCTCTGCCTCTGGCCCTGGAGAAGTCTAGGTGTCCGGTAAGGACCGGCCAGGCCAGAGAAATGCAGTGGGCCAGGATGCCAGGGGTCCTGGAGTCTTTATTCCATTTCAACCACAAAGAATGAAGGCCAGAGCTGCTAGCATGAAGCTGCCAGGCAACAGAAGCGCCAGAAGAGGCCCTGCCATGAAGGCCAAAGAGCTAGGCAGGGCCTTTCCTCTCTGGGCACCAGGAGTAAGTTACAATAGTAGTGAGAAGACAAATATATTCTAGTCTCAGAGTAAGCTTCCAAAAACATTTTTTTCCTTCTGTGATCGTAGGCATACGTCTGAACTAGTTCATGGATGGATTCAAATTTGTTTTAAGAAAATTCAGACTGGATGTGCCACGATACCTGAGTTTACTCAGTACAACGAAAGAATCCCTGCTAAACGATGGAGATCTGGAAAGAAGCAAGCTTATACCTCTGACTGTTACAAACCGCCTTTCAGAGAGTCTACTGGTAAAGCGACTTTACCTCAAAATTGCGATGGACACTCTGACAGCTGAACGAAACCTGGTGAAGCCCCGTGGGCGCTTGGTGATCACTTCTAGGTCAGTGAAGGCTGGCTGTCCCCCCATGCGGGCAAGCAGTGCCAGGGTGGCATCTTCGCATTCTTGGAACCCACCCAGTAACAGCAGCAGGTATTTCTTTTGATAGATGAGAGCCTTCCGAAAACTTTCTGCCCTCAAGTATTTACCATAAATTCTCTGTATTTAAAAAAAGGAAGAACAAAAAGGCATTCTGTCATTCAAACTTCCCTAGGAAAAGACAACCAATGTTTAAAACAAAACAAAACAATGAAACAGAATGGCCGTCACCTCTCACTGTTTTCTACTATAACAGCAAAGTTGAAAGTTAATTAACCTTCACAGTTCGTCTCTTTTCAGTAATGGAGAATGAACACTCACTTTATAATTATGCTTTTTATTTTGGGCTCATCATATTTATATGATATAAATTTTAAAATTGCAAGGAGCTATTTTTTGTCATTATAGTCATTATCTAGTTCTTTTAATAATGATTTCTGTCACTTTAAGAGTCATAAACTTATGTTCACTCCACAGCTGGAACAAATATTCCCAATCTTTTTGTTTTAGATTTTAAATTACCGATTAAGGTAGTTTTATTACAATGACTATTCTTACACATTAGAGAGGCTACTTGGAAGGCTTCCTGTCCTATAGAGCATTATGCTCTTACACTGACAAGTACTGCTTTTGTTAGTTGAAAATAGAACATTTTAGTGCATTGTGGGAAGAAACTGTAGGAAGCAGGACCATACTGTGACAATGAATAGAACTTTACATGGGCCCGGTCCTCGGCTTGCCTCTCCGCAAACCTCCTTGTGACCAGCTAAACACCTAGCAATCACGATAGAGACTGAATAAACAGGCCCAGACACACCTGAGTGCCACCACCACTTTTCAGTCTTTTCAGTTCATGTCAGGAGAGATGAAACGAGGCAAAGCAGAGGACCTTCTGAAGACTGACGAGGTCTCCTACCTTTAAGGTGACATGTTCAGAATCGGGGCTCAGATTCTGGAGTAAAGTATCATTTCTTAGTTCAGCTTTCAGTTTATGCACTTCTGCTTCTGCCCTTTTCAAGGATTTCTGGAGAGTCGATTTCTCTCTGTTCCATATTTCTTTTTCGGAAGCAATGATGGCATCAATGTTGGATCCACCACCCAATGAAAACCTAGAACACTGCAGAGACCATATTCTACTAACATGATTTTTAAGAATAAGTCTTGAAGAAAAACTGGAATTAATCATATTAAAGGTATCCTATGATGTATGCCTAGTATCAGCTTTTTGATTGCAGGAAAGCTCAAAACCAATCTAAACTGATACTACAGAATATTCCTGAAGCCTAAGCATGTTCCTTTGCTGAGCAGAAAGTCTGGCAAAAGCCTAGCCAGGGAAAGCTAGGCAGATTTAGCAGAGTTTTGAACTGAAAAATTCAGGAAACCAAACAGCTGGATCATCTGGATGCAAATGTTGAACCTGCACTCAAGAAGGGGACAGAGAATTTAACCCCTGGCAAGCACAGGAAGTGGGTTGCTATGGAAACTTCATGCTGGGGTTTTCATCTGTTTGTACAGTTTTCTTCTGATCTTTCCTGTCTATCAAGTTATTATAGAAACCAATTATTTTACAGCTTTTGTAAACTGGAAAAAATTTAAATGCTTATGAATTATACCGAAATATATAATTGATGTACAAAATATATAATATTATACTGAAATATATAATTGAATAGCATTTTTTGCCGGAGTCATTAACATAGTAACTGATGAATGTAACTGAAGAGAACAGTCAGGATCCTAGGGAACAACATACTGATTTGGAGATAAACAGATTGTAGCTTGATTATAATTTTAGTTCAGCTTTCTCATGTATAAGGCTGGATGTGGATTAATTCTGTAAGTGCATAACCCTCTGTCTGGTACACAGAAGGTTCTCTTTAAAATAATAGCTACTATTACTTTTTTTTTTTTTTTTTTTTTTTTTTTTGGTACTGGAGATCGAACTCGGGTGCTTGTGCTTGTGAGGCAGGCGTCGGAACCACTGAGCCAAATCCCCGGCCCAATAGCTACTATTACTGTCATCCCTATAAAATTTTCCACAGATCCTACTAAGCATCATATACCAGGTACTTTTGCATGTCAGAGTCAAGAAACTGAAATAAGACAAAAGAAAATATAACTCAGCACTACTTTAAAAAGGACGAAGTGTTTGTAAATGGGGAGGGGAGGAGGGGGTGAAGGGAGGGCACGGACAAGGGGAAAAAAATGAGAACCAAGACCTGTCATGCAAAGGAACAAGATCCCAATAATAAAAAAAAAAATGACGTACACAATCTCCAGCAGCTCCTGCCTGTCGGTAGCACCTTATCCGCTCTTCTAGCTTCATAACCGTGTTCCTCAAACCATTCTTTTCTTCAGTAAGCTGGCTGATATGTCCTGTCAGCTCAGCATTCTGTCTCAGCAGTCTTTCAGTCAATGAGCCACAAGAAGCACTTGGGGACACTAAGCTGGGCTGGGAAAATACAATGGTATTATGTCACATAATTACAAATGTCCACAAATACTTTGTGTGAATGTGTGAAGAGACAGAAAACACCTATTACATGACCAGTGCTTGGTTAAATAATAGGGAGAAATGCATGAGGCAGGCAGAAAAGAAGCTAGGGAAAGGCACAATAAGTAGAAGAGCATAAAGACATAAAGCCTTATGCAAGCGTGTTGCTTTTAAGGGAGCTAGCTGTAAGTTACTTGGTAAAAATAGAATGTTGCTTCAATTTGTGGAAAATAGATTTAATCATTCAATGAAGGCAATGGAGAGCTACAAAAGGCAGAAGCATGCCACAAACAGTTTGTGCACTAAAGATTCCTTTGGCAGTAGTGCGCAAAATGGAGTAAGTTAGGGAAGATACAATCTTCTAGTGTCAGGCATACCCATGAGGAGGTTGTTAACAACAGTCCTGCTAAGAAGTACCAAAGAGCTGAGGCAGTGGCTAGGGATAGAGAGCAATGGGCATAGGGGATAGATATGTACAAATAAAAGGCACACGATTTAGATTGCTCAGCTGTGTAAGTCCATTACATTTTTGTTGTTGCTGTGTTTTTGCAGTACTGGGGATCGAACTCAGGACCTTGCTTGTGCTTGCAAGGCAGGTGCAGTGCCACTGAGCTAAATCCCCATCCCTGCTTAGCTGTGTAAGTAAGGGCAAAGAAAAGCAGACCACAGCGACTTTCAGTTTTCCAGCCTGGATGACAGCACTACCAGAAAGGTAGGAAGGACAGGGGAAGATGATGTTCAATGTGAAGCATGCTTTTGGGATTGCTAAGAGGTCATTGTGGGGTACAAGGAAAAGCAAGATACCTAGGAACTAATTGAAAATATAAGCCTGAAGCACAGGTCAAAAGTCTATACTAGAAACACAGTCCACTGGACAATAAACTCCATGATATATATGAGATTTTTGTCAAATATGTTCATTTTATCCCTAGAACACAGTTGAGTACTTGGCAGTATATGTGCAATGTAAGTATTTGTTTAATACATCAGTCTAGTGAAGGTCTGTGGGAACAAAGGAGCTTTTTTTTGTTTTTTGGTACTGGAGACTGAACTCATGACCTTGCACTTGCGAGGCAGGAGCAGTGCCACTAAGCTAAAACCCCGGCCCTGAAGGAGCTTTTACAGTGCAGTTAGATTCATGGAAGATGACAAGGGAAGAGAAAACCATGGAGGTAACTGATTAAAAACCTCAATGAAGTGAGACAATACTGACAGAAAAGAAAAGGAAAGAGGGTTTTAAGAGTATGGAAGAGCTCTCAAGTGTCCAGTGTAACAAAGTGAAGGCAAGAATGAAAAGATTCAGCAGCTTGGCGAATCATAAAGACACTGGCAGGATTCTTAGGATGGTTTCATGCAGGTGTGTGGTGAGGGTAGAAACTAGATTGTTCTTTCAAGAAGTTTGGTATCTTAATAAAAGGACACTGTAGTCAGGCATGGTGGTGGGAGGCTAATACAGGTGGATTACCTCGAGTTTAAGGCTGTCCTAAACCGGGCCACATAGTGAATTCAAGGCCAACCTGCACTACAAAGCAAGACTGTCTCAAAAAACAAAAACAATACAAAACAAAAAAAGGCACTGGATTCAATAGCAATGCCAAAGTTAATTTTCTCCCAAGCTTTCACTAGCTTCTACTGAAAGGCAAACATTGTATTTAAAATTAAAAAATTAAAGTTTTGGGCTGGGGATATAGCTCAGTGGTTCCTCTGCCTTCCTTGCAAGGGCAAGGTCCCAAGTTCAATCCCTAATACCAAAATTGAAAAAAAAATATTACAGTTTTATCAAACATGCTGCCTGTTTCAAACAGTTCATATTTTCTACTGAGTCTTTGCTCTCTCTGTTTTACAAAGAACTTCTGAAAAAGTTTTACCTCTTCACCTGGCTGGCCAATGTATTTCTGTAGTTGTAAAATAATTCCATCAATATTTTCCTGAACCCAAATGAAAGTTTCGACATCTGCTGTTTCAAACTGTAGCCTTCAACAAAAAGACACAAAGTTACAAAAGACTTTCTCAGAGGTGTTTACTAACAGAAATACTATTGGCGGGGAGTCTGTGCTTCACTTATCACTCTTACAAGAGTTCTCCTTCGCTAAGTTCAAGTGTTATTTTCAGACGTATGAGCCTTTTTAAAGAATATCATGTACCCACGTAAACGAGGATTACCTTTAACAGCTCAATTTCCCACCCTGGCTAGCTACGTCTGCAGGTTAGTGTCTGTCTAGCCTAAGAACGCTCTTCCAAAGACCAGGCAGGAAAGCCTAACCTGTTGGAGGCTTTCTGGGACAGGTGCTGTAGGCTCGAAGCAACACGCTCAAGCTTTTGTCTGACCACTTCTAATTCATGTTTGTAGCCAGTTTCTCCTCCATTCATTACAGTCAATTTAAGGTAGTTTGATTCTTTCGTATCTCCTTCTATTTTCTGTTGAAGAACCCAATTTCGAGTCCGATCATTAGTCACGCTCCAACTGGTTGGCTGGCAATTTTGGACAGAAAAAGAAAATAATTATAAACAAATAGCATTAAACATTCTTTCTTAAGGGAATTATTGTTTATAATCTAAATAAAGTTCTATAGAATTTATTTTTAACTGATTTACACATATAACTATTTAAATAATTTAATCCAATATCAAAGTTTTATAATCAAAGAGCTGTAGAACTCCTTAAAAGTATTTAAGAGTAAACCAAGTGCCAGTTTACCTCATTAAGATTCTGATACAGAATTCGTCTTTCTCGTTTTTCTTCTCGTTCTAGTTCTTGCTTTTGGAATTCTTGCATAATTCCTTGTAGTCGCTTTCCTTCAAGGTCTAACTTATAAACTTGTTGCCTTTTCTCTTCTAGCTGGTGCTGAAGATCTTCTACTTTAGACTGCAGTTCATGCATTTTTTTCTGTCCCTCAGTGTTGGCCTCTTGCTCTGTCTGCAGTGTCTTCTTATGAACCTGTCTGTCTTTTTCCATTTGCTGTCTTGTTTGCAAAGAGTCCAGTTTGTATTTTTCAGTCTCACTTAACAATTCCACTATACGGCTATGCTTCTCCTCCAGCTGTTTCTGCAGCTCCTTCAGGAGGTCTTCCGAGGGCAAGGGTGGATGTAGCTGGCCACCCTCGTCACTGCTCTGCAGCTGGGTCCGCAGTTCCCGCTCCCTAACTAGGGCACCACTTAGTTCCTCAATTCGGACTTTCTCAGAATCAAGGAGTACTTGAAGCTCTAAGTTTCGGCCCTGCTCTTCTGATAACTCAGCATCATGTAGCAGTCTTTGTGATTCCATTTTCTGCTGTAATTCATGGAGCAGTTGTTTCTGTTGTTCCAAAAGTAGATTTAGCTGAATATTCCTCTGTTTCTGGTCCTCAAGTGAAAATTTCAGGTCCTTGTAAGAAAATATCAGATTCAAGTACACATTAATATTACTAAGCTACTCTGTAAGTATACAACCATGCCTTTATTAATACTAAATTGGTGATCTGTAGTAACAGAAGATAGTACTATTATTCAGTTTATTAATTTAAATTTTCTGTGGCAAGAACAATTATTTAGATAGCCAAGTGATTTTCATCGAGGAATATAAATAAGAGATAGGCAGGATAACACATTTCCCTTAAAACATCAACTTACCTGGCTAAATAGGAAGCAGGATACATTTCTCCTAACAAAGATCATTAAAAATTGTAAGCATTCTTGTAGTACTTTTAAAACATATTAATGGTATATCTTTTTTTTTTCAGCTGTTAGGTACTTATGTGTGAATGAGCGTAAGAAAGTAACTGCCTAACAGTAGTATGTACATGAAAATCCAGAATGATGGAGATTCCAAACAGCTACAGATTGGCCCACAGGGCTGGCTGAGATAGTTGATACTTTTCCTTTCAAACATTAAATTTTTAAAACACTGCAAAAAATTTAAAAAATACATGTTTCTTATTGAAAATGATGTAAGTTCCTGAGAAATATGTTTTTAGTATCAGAGACTAAAATCAATAAAGCTTACACAGAAAGCAGGGTCAAAAACAAATTACTCATAATCAATGTAGATTTTAAAAATAAATATATTAGTACTTGGGAGAAATTATACATCCCTGTGTGGAGGTTAACATCGTAGAAATTAAAGATTAAGCACGCAGTAAAATAGGGCTACAGTCTTGGTGATGTGTTTCAAATACTGCATTATGTGAACAGGAGAAGAGCTCTGAGCCTGGGAGGCTGCCACTGGAGTGGGCCTTCCATGCGGTCCAACCTGTGGTGAGCTAAGAGCCATACAAGACTGGGGGCGCCTCTCTGGGAGAGCCCAGTGCTTATTTTTTCCAGAGTATAGTAGCAAGGGCTCCTGCTTTCACAGAAGTTGCCCTGATCCCATTCTCTAGTACAGTGGCGGCAAACCTACGGCGCGTGAGGCATAGGGGGGCAGGTGGAGCACTCTCTGGCTGGCCACACCCCAGCAGCTGAGCCTTAGGTAACAGTTGTTTTTTCTAAACTAAAACCTCAGTACTCAGGTTTAACTGCGTGTTGGCACTCTGCAATACATAAATGGGTTTTGGGTTGCAGTTTGGGCACTCATCTGTAAAAGATGCACCACCACTGCTCCAGGAGAAAACAGACACCAAAACTACTTTTGCACTAAACTAATATGATTGCCCTATTTATCACACCGAGTGTGCACTAATTAACAGTACCAAAATATGGTGCTACAGAGCAATCTGTATGTATCCTTGGATGCAGCAAAATAAAAAGCATCAAAACACCAACATTTACTCATAACACAGTTTAAATGAATTATAACAGTATTTAATGCAGAGTGAACAACTTACAGCTTATAAGAGTCCAAGGCTGACATTTTAGACAAAGGTCAGTCTCAAGAATCTGAATTCTCCTGAGACATAAAGATGATAATACCTCGAGTTCGTCTTTTTCCTTCTCTTCACTGTGTCCCAATCTGGCTTTTTCTTTCTCCAAAGCCCACTGGAGCTCTCTTGACTTTTTCTGTTCATTTGCTAATGTATCATTAAGCAGATGTACTTCATCTGTCTTATCTTTAACTTCCAATCTAAATCAAAAGAGACAAATGAACTTTCATCAATGGAGCAAGAAAGAGAAAACAGTTCCCATTGAAAAGCGGAGGCATACACTGTATGTACATTATAAACTAGCTACCAGGAAAATGTAAGTTTAAGGATTCTTGAATGGTATTTCAAATTCTCTGTTTCTAATACTGGAAGTACAATCATTATTATTTACCACTGTAAACCATTACACCATTTATTGCTCCAGGATAATTATTTGTGGTTATGGGGACTAACACGAGAAGCATTCTACTGAGCTACATTCTTAGCCTTTTTCACTTTTTGAGATGGCGGCTCACTAAATTGCACAGGATAGCTTTGATCTTATGATCTTCCTGCTTAAGCCTCCCGCGTAGCTAGATTGACAGGTGTGCGCCGTACTTAGAAAATAAAATAAAATAATTTTTCTTGTCTTTTACTGAATGTAGGAATCATCATATGAATGTATGAAATCAATGTTCAAAATAAAAATGACTATTTGTGATATGTTTTGGCAAGCAGAATATCTCAGTATTTACACCAACAAATGTATCTTTTTGGCAATCATTATCTCTTGAAATATCTGCATATATTGGTTAATTAAACCATTGATCATGTTGAGATCTTAAACATCATTTCAATAAACACCAAAATTATGTCATACAGAACTGAGGCCACAACAGAGAATATGCCAAAATAATCAGGAGTTTATAACTGGAAAAAATTTGGAATTTCCTATCTGCTTTCTTTCCTATAATTAACAAAGTTTTCATGCTATTTAAACATCATGTATAGTGTTTTATTTTTGTTTGCACAATATTTATGACAAAATTACTACATTCCTTCCCTAATACACATTTATAATAAAGAAGCTTGGCAAACCTGAAGGCTTCTAACTCTTTTAGGTGCTTATGCTGTGCCTTGAGCGTTGTCTCTAGTTCTAGTTTCGTTTGTGCAAGTTCACTTTTTAGCTCAGCAACCACCATTTTTTCTGAACTCAGTTGTTCCTGGAGTTCGGATGCTTTGTCTTTCACACTGCTGAGCTCCACTTGCATCTCCAGAATTTGAGACTGCTTCTGTTGCATATTATATTCCAAGAGTTCTAAAGGGAACACAATGGATATTTAAAATATGATCTAGCAACTCATTTGGTTTATAAATACTTCCTTGCCAAGAAATAATTTATAATTTAGGAGACTGTTACAAAGCAACTGTGAAAGATTACAGTCTCTACAATTGGTATTTTATATAAACTTTATGTATGTTTTTTTCAGTGGTACTAGTGGCAAAAACTTCCGAGGCAGGCGTGGGAGCCATGAACACTATTGGCACTCACACCTTGCCCTCACCAAGGTTGGGGACTCAGATGGCCATGGTCCCTGTCCCAGGAACAATGGGCCTCAGTGTGCAGAGTGCTACTCCTGGGACAGCTACAGGTGCTGGTGCTGCTGGCATCCTCCGACATGCAGGGATCTCAAAATACAGAATTTTCGGTGCCTCTGAACAAATCCAGTGCTAACCTATCAGAGAAGGTGTCTTCCAAGGATACAAGCAAATCTAACAGCTGCAGCACTGTGAAAAGATTAACTAGTTTCCCTGGATTCAATCAACATAAATTCCACAGTGACTTTGAAAATGGCAATACCAGCAATCTCAATAAACACAACTTCCTCTACCTCAAAATCTGCTCCTAAAGCAACAAGAGTTTCAGAAAATAATCCCAGATGTCAATATCCTCAATTACCACAACTCTTAATAGTTTGGTGACATAGCTAACAATCAGAGCAACCATTCATTCTAGAGAAAATGAAGGATCAAAATTTGATAATGTCAGCTTTACTTGTATTGTTGTATTGACAAGAGAGTTTTATCTATTCTTTATATTGGGTATAAAATGTATTATTTGAGAGGAGGCACTTAATATAGAACCAACGATAAACACAATGCCATCATTTAAGGAAATGCAAGAACCGGATAAAAGATTGATACAGCTCTATCAGTTAATTTTGGTTATTAGTTTAAAGCAATATTATCTCCTTTAAAATAGTATAAACAGGCTATGCATATAATGTATAACATATTACATACATATGTGAAGATTTGTCATCACTACTAAAGTTAAAAAGGTCTTAAACATTTAAATTATATTAGGATTGCAATGCAAGGACCCGAGTTCAATCCCCGGTACCCCCCCCAATGATAAAAGGAGCTTACAGAAAATTTATGCAATGATTATGTTCACTTTTAGTAAGACAAGTCCTAGCTCATGTTTTTGTGGCACTGGTCACATAGGACCAGTACCTGAAGGCATCATCATCAGATGGCACAACACCATTTGGGCATCTAATTAAGGAGCTTGTCATAGCACTCAGGATTCTGAGAGTCTGTTGCACACAAAGAATTTCAGGTTTTTAAGAGCTGGCTATGTCCCTAATTACTAAGGCCACAAAAAGAAATTACACAATTGTATTAAACAGACTGAAGCATAGTTTAATAATAGTTTAAGAAAGCTTCAACATTTATTGATTGATTGTACCGGAGATCAAACTCGGGAACTTGCACTTGCCAGGCAGGCAGCCTCACCACTGAGCTAAATCCTCGGCTCAAAATTTTATATTTTAAAGTATAGTAGTTAGTCTAGAAACAGAAGACACATTCCCCTGAGAACAAAATCTTCAAATAAAACCTCAAACAATACCTGTGTTTTGTCCCGTTAGAGGCCCAATGGAGCATTAGAAAGCAGGTAAATTTTATTAATAACTTCTTTTAAGATTTCAATGTTAGGTGATACAATTTTCTTTCTCTATGTAACTTAGGCAAACTGTAATGTCGAAAGTGATGTTTTAATGATTGAGTTGTAAGAGTGGCATAGGAAAAAGTAGACGTTATATTATTTGGTACTGTAACACTTTGTCACCATTGGAAATCGCTTAACAATTGCTTAATTTTAATTTGTTAATTTTAGTTTTATATTTAGTGAATATTTTTAAGAAATATAGAGCTGCTTTCAACTTCTAGAAATTTTTAATGGAATGTTAAATCATTTTAAAAAATAAAGAGCCCTGTACATGATTTCCAAAAAACATTCACAATTCTGTATTATCAGGATTATAGATTACTGCTGTGTTTATTAAATTAGGGATTATGGCACTCTTCCCCCAGGCTACCTGGTTTGATTGTTACTGTGATCTATTTTTGGAAATAAATTTGTTCTCCATTAAGAAAAATTTCAGAACTGTAAAGATAAGAATGATAAAAATTGAACACAACATATTAACAATGATCACAAGATTTAAAATAAAAAACTTTAATTGAATCTAGACCCATATTTCTCACCACGTACTAAACTAAAATCAAAATGGGTTAAAGAACTAAATGTTAAACTAGAAACAAAATGCTGGAAGACAAGATAGGTAAAACTGTTGAACACACAGGTGTATGCAAGGACTTTCGGAATGGAACCCCAGTTGCAAGAAATAGTTCCAAGTATCAACAAATGGGATTTGCACAGTGAAAGAAACAACAAAGGAGTGAAAAGACAACCTATAGAATGGGAAAAAAAATTTGCCAGAAATTTTTCTGAGGACTCATAACTAGAATATATAAAGAACTAAAAAGATTAGACCTTCCAAAATAAAAGACTCAATCAAAACTGGGCAAGCAAAATGAATAGACACTTCACAGAGGAAGTTCAAATGGCCAATAAATACATGAAGATTTAAATGCTCAACAGCACTGGTCATTAGAGAAATGCAAATTAAAGTAACAATGAGATGCCATCTTACTCCAGAACAAATGGCCACCATCCAGAAATCTATAAAAAATGCTGAAAGGTTGTGTGTGGGGGGGGACAAAACCAAAGCCTTCTACACTGCTGATGGGAATGAAAACTAGTATAACCACTATGCAAACTAGTACAATCTCTAGTATAGAGATTCCTCAAAAAACTAAAACCAGAAATTCCATTTAACCCAGCTATTGCCCTTCTAGGTTACCTATATGAAAGTAAAAGTCATCATACTACAGTGATAAATTCACACCCATATTAGCACAACTCATATTAGCTAATGCTTCAAAATGGCCCATTTGTCCATCAACAGATGACTAAAGAAAATGTGATATTTATATACAATGGAGTACTTACTCTGCCATAAAGAAAGATAAACTTGAGTCATTTGTAGGAAAATGAATGTACCTTGAGACAATGTTAGTGAAATCAGATTCACAAGCTTAAATATCATATGGTTTCTCACATTAGAAAGAGTAAAAAGAAACAGCAAAATGAAAGATAGATGTTAGGAAGCAGGGAGATAGGTGGTTCTAAAAGGGGAAGGGGATCAAGAGATGGAGGAAGCGGGGGTTAGGAGGAAAGGGATAAGGGTGTTATGTACATGTACCGACTCTACACAAGGAAGGTAAGCATTATGTACTGCGAACATGTATCCCCCTTAACCCAAAAAGGACCTTCCCAAACAAAGGGGCTCAAAAGAGAGGGATGAGAAATTAGATGAATTAGGATGTTATGTACATGTACCAACTTCTCACAAGGAATGTAAACATTACGTACTAAACAGAGGCACTAATAAAATAAAAACAAACTTTAAATGTTCACCCAAAATTATAAACAGGGACTTCTCTATTTGTTCACTCGAAATGTTAACCACTCACACTAAAATGTTCTAACAATTTCTGATAACTACATCCACTGTTTGCAGTAGTTACCCATGCATGCAATCTTGACTACAACGATCAGCACTGTTTGCTTCTTCTGTTCATCGTGCCTTTGCAGATGTCCCCGAAGGAATTTATTATAACCCTGTACCCAGAAGTGGGACACACAAACCCTGGCTGGGGTCCTTGCCCTGCCCTCTCACAAGACATCAGTCAAATGCTGCACATTTCTTATAATGAAAACAAACGGGAATTTAAACCTTCAAGTATGTTAACTGAAAAAGCATGTTACAAAATATGCATCAGGGTTCCAGTTTTACAAAAATTACATATTATGTACTCATGCACACTGAAAAGGTCTGTACACGTATTTACCTAGGTGCTAAACTCTCATTATTTAAGGCTTTATGTGATTCTAGAAGTGACTTTTACTCTACTGTTTTTCTGATGTGCCATAAATATATAACAATACTCTCTTATGAAAACATTTTTTTAGATTTAAAATTTTAAATTCTATTAAGGTTTATCAATTCATATTAACATTAGGAGAAAGGAAGAGTATTGGCTTTGGATGATAATCATAATTTAGGCTTTTAAAACAATTTCTTAATGAATAGCATATGTAATTAAGCTTTCAATGGGGTTATATTTCATTTAAATAAAACAGTATTATCTCATACAATTTTAGTTAAACCTCTGTCTAAAGCTTATCTCATGGTACCTGTTCTCTCCAAAGTAATTTTGACCTGATTCAGGTTTTCAATGATAAATATGAGACTTTGCAGTGACAGTCTGAAAAGCACAGGTGTTTCTCCCATTCCACAAAACACTATCACTAAACACTCAAGCATATGTCCTCAGTAGGGAAGATGAAAATTTACTAGCAATTTCTACCTATAGCCCAATTTGAACAGATATCCCTACTGCAAACTGCAAAAAGACTCTAGCAAGCATGTATCAAAAGCAAAAATCCATCTGGGCAATAATCATATGAAAAGGGACTTAAACCATGTTAATAAAATCTAAATCACAGTAAATATCCACTATGCAGCTAAGAAATGACAACGAAGTATCCACTGTGCAACCAAGAGATTGTCAGCTGTTTACAAATATGTGAAGCAACGAAACCTTCACGCACTGCTAGTGAGTGTGCAAACTGATACTTTCACTCTTTAAAATAGTTTGGTATTGTCTAGTAAATTTGAAGATTTTTACTATGACTCAACAATTCCACTTCTACAAAGATTCATGTACATATATACATCATACAAACTGCAGAATTTCTGTAACAGCACCTATTGTGAGAGATATAAAGGAGAAACAACTCAAATGTTCAACCACAGAATGTGTAGTATAATCTAGAACATCCATGCAAGAGAATTCTACACAGTAACAAAGTCAAACTAGAGATAAATGGGTGGGGGGGATTGAACTCTGGACCTTGTACTTGTGGGGCAGGTGGGAAAACCATTGAGGTAAACCTCCTGCCCCAGGGAAACGTTAATAAACGTGGGGAATTTATAAATTGGCAGTAAAACTAAAGAAAAATCAGGATGATTACCAGTACGTACACAAGGGGCCAGCTCAGTGGTGCCGCTGCCCACTTCCTTACAAGTGCAAGGTCCCGAGTTCGATCCCCAGTACAAAAAAACCCAAACAAACCAGTAAGTACACACGACAGAGGAGTATGTGAAGGGGTTTTTGGAATATGGGCAATATTCTACTTCTTGGCATATGAGATGTTTACACAAATATTCTTCTAATAATTTGTCAATGTGTATTTGCTGTAGCTCATGTTACAGTTCCCAAGTTTTTAAACAAAACATTAAAAATGAAAATAACTATTTTCACTGTGGGATTTCCTTTACTTAAGATAGTTATCCTTTAGGGTACAGGAAAGACTTACTAACATACAGCTTGAAAACAAAGACGATAAACTTAATGGGCGTAATAAAAATGGTCTATTTTTACTAGACACTGCTAATCAATTTGATAATCTTCCAACCCCTACAGTATTAATATAGATTTTTTCCTTAGTGTTATGAGAATAAGAATGTGACTAAGAAGAAACGTCTTTTAACTGGATAATATTAGTAAGGGAAAGTAAGGAAATATTTTCTCAACTACTTGTGGAACCATCTGTCATACAACCTACCTTGGCTAGGTTTATCACTCTCCTGCTCTCTTTTCAGGGTCATTTTCCTACCATTCATTTGAGCACGCAGTGCTTGAATTTCACATAACAAACTCTTTCTATCTGCTTTTTGGACACATTCCATAGCGGCTTGATATTCAATACCCTGTAATACAGGACAATGAAAAATCAAAGGAAAAGAGTTATAAAGATAATAAAATCAACAACCAAGAGGTCTGAAGAAGAATGAGTGGAACACACATTTTAAATTTATTTTTAAAATTTCTTTATTTCTCTTATCCAAATTATATGACGATTTGTTAGATACCCTTTTACCTCTAAATATTGTAGTGTACAGTATTTCCTAAAAGCAAAACATTCTCTTATACAACCACAGTATAATAAAAAGAATTAACATTAATACAATAATATCATCTAATGAATAGAGCATATTCAAATTTGGCCAAATGTCCTCGTAAAAAAAGCAGTGAGGAAGCCGGGTGTGGTGGCGCATGCCTGTAATCCCAGGACTTGGGAGGCTGAGGCAAGAGGATTGCTGCAAGTTTGAGACCAGCCTGGGGTACACAGTGAGTTCCAGAGCAGTCTGAACTACACAGTGAGACCCTGTCTCAAAAAAATGAAAACAAAAGAGACTTGTAGTCACGCCCTCTCCCTACTCTTAACCCCTATACACTAATTTGTTATCACTCTAATTTTGTCACTGAAAGAGTGTTGTTATATAACACACGATATGTGGAGAATATCAAGAGTTTGCTCTTTGTAAAGTGCTGAGTAGTGTTTCATTGAATTGCTATACTAAACTTTGTCCATCCATTTACCTAATGCAGGCCATTTGGGTTGTTTCCAGTTTGGGGATATTACAAATAAAGCTGCTATGAATACTCATGTATAGGTTCTTAGGAAGACCCAAGTTTTCATTTCTGTATGATTAACTATCTATGAGTGTGAGTGGTAGACTGTATGGTAAATGTGTGTTCAACTTCATAAGAAACTGCCAGGTTAGTCTGCAGAGTTGCTCATCTACTCCACATTACTTCCAGCAATGTATGCAAGATGCAGTGTCTATGCATCCTTCCCAGCCCTTGGTGGTATTACAGTTTCTTATTTTGGCCATTTAAATAGATGTATAACGACCTCATTCTGTTTTGGTCTGATATTTTCTCAAGAGTAGATAAATACACTTTGTAGTTCAGGCTCGTCTTGAATTAGCCCTGAACTCATGCCAGTCCTCCGGCTCAGCCTTTGAAGTGCTGAGATTACAGGTATGTACCCCATGCCCAGCTTTGGCTGAATCGTTAGTGATGACCCCATCTTCACTCTAACACTTAAAAATTAAGTTTCATCATTTTTTTTTACCAATCCCGCAGAAAAGTTATTAGCTCTTTCAAATAACCAACTTTATTTGGAGACAGGGTTTTTCTATGTATCCAGAATGGCCTTGAACTCAGGATGGCAGCCCAAGCAGGCCTTGAACTCCCTGTAGTTCTTCTGATTAGCCTCCCAAGTGCTGGGATTATAGGCACGTGCCACCAAGCCTGGCTTCAAATAACCAACTTTTAATGTTTCATCCTGTCTACTGTACTGTGTATTTCATTAACATTTTTATTTGTTAATCTTCATCATTCAGACTCTGTATTTTCAGATACGATTACCCACTAAAAATGTATGTGTAATCCCCAAATGAGTTTCTTTCATTGCCTTTCACACATGTACTGAGAAGCTTAAAACTTTTTTTTTTTTTTTTGTACCAGGATCGAACTCGGGTCCTTGTGCTTGCAAGGCAGGTGGTGGAACCACTGAACTAAATCCCCGGCCCTGAAAACTGTTTCATGCACATTTCCAACTAAAGTCAAACAAGGGAATACTCTGCCTTTTCATTTTAGCTCTCAAACTGTAAACAAATGTCCTTTTTTATTCTGTGTAGTGTCTTATTTTTTTCATAGTTTTATACTTAATTCTTTGTGATTTCTTGGTTTAAAATGGCCTCCAAAGTGAAGTACTGTGTGGTGTTCCTAATTTCAAGAAGGCTGTGAAGGAAGAATCTTAAGGAGAAAAGGTGTGTTAGATAAACCTCTTTCGGGTGTAAGTTATAATGCTACTATCGTGTTCGACATTAATGAATCGATAATATATAGTAAACAAGGCCTTTTAAAACAAAGCCTCACAAGAAGCAAGGTTATGTACAGACTAGGTGATGAAAATGTTGTGACTAGAGGCTACAGGCTCCTACTTGTATATTTCCCTTAAGAGTGATGGCAACTTTATACAAATTGACTACTGCGAATAATGAGAGCTGAGTCTACCTTACTCTACTTCTTTGGGTTTATTTAGTTGCTCTAACTTTCTAAGTTTAACGATTAGCTCATTACTTTTTGGCCTTTATTTTTTTGGGGGGTACTGGAAAATGAACTCAGGGATTCACGCTTGCCACGCAGATATTACACTGCTGAACTACATTCCTGGCCCTAGTCTTTCAACATTTAAGATAATATTTTTTTCTCCTAAATATTCTTAGTGGCCTTGTTACTTAAAATGAAGACTCCAAAATGAATCAATAACTGATACCCTGTTATTATTAACAAGTATCTTTTAAATGAAGCTTTATGGGCTAGGAATTTAGCTCAGTGGTACCACACCTGCCTTGCAAGCACAAGGTCTTAAGTTCCATCCCCAGTACCCAGAAAAAACATTTTTTGCCAGGGATTTAGCTCAGTGGTTCCGCCATCTGCCTCACAAGTGCAAGGACCTGAGTTTGATCCCTGGTACCAAAAAAAAAAAAAAAAAAGAGCAGATATTACACTGCTGAACTACATTCCTGGCCCTAGTCTTTCAACATTTAAGATAATATTTTTTTCTCCTAAATATTCTTAGTGGCCTTGTTACTTAAAATGAAGACTCCAAAATGAATCAATAACTGATACCCTGTTATTATTAACAAGTATCTTTTAAATGAAGCTTTATGGGCTAGGAATTTAGCTCAGTGGTACCACACCTGCCTTGCAAGCACAAGGTCTTAAGTTCCATCCCCAGTACCCAGAAAAAACATTTTTTGCCAGGGATTTAGCTCAGTGGTTCCGCCATCTGCCTCACAAGTGCAAGGACCTGAGTTTGATCCCTGGTACAAAAAAAAAAAAAAAAAAAGTGAAGCTTTGTTTTGCTACCTGTTCTTGTATTCTCTGTTCCAAGCAGCTTAGTAATCCAACAGCATCTCTGGTACCTAAAGCTGTGAGCTCGGTCTGAAAGGCAGCCAGTAAAATGCTGCGCTCCTTTAGGAAAACGTGTTGAAAGGCAAGCAAGAGGTCACCTCGCCAGTCAGAGAGATTCTCAGGAGACTGAGAATCGTCATAAACCTAGGAGAATACAAATAGCAAAAGTCAGTATTCAAATAAGTATGTTTTTAAGACATTATAAAAATATTAGTCTATTTAATAAATATTTAAAGCCGAAAAGTGCATGAAATTTCAAGTGTGAAAATACATATATCATTTCACATGAAAACAGGTAATTTATGAAGTGTTATTACTGAAGTGTATTAGAAATCACATAAAGCTATTTAGAAGAATAATATTCTTCAGATACCTCAGCTTCTCTTTGCACTTGCATTTTGGTAATTAAATCCTTAAGAGATGAGATCATACTAAGGTATGCCCTTCTCTCTTCAAGCCAGGATTCTGAAACTTGCTGAACACAATGATCCTCCCCTTCACCATAAGGGGACTCCGTGAGAGAAAGCACCTGCATGCCCTCGTTATGAACAGCTCTCAGCAATCCCTAGAAAGCAAAAGCTAAAATTATTAAAATTATTAAATTAAAATTATGATAACTTCTTCAAAGATTGAAAACTCAGATAAACAAAAATACATTTTTTTTTCAGTACCAGGGATTGAACGCAGGTCCTTGCACTTGTCAGGCAGGTGCGGTGTTACTGAGCTAAATCCCCGGCCCCAAAATACATAAATTTTAAGCAAGATAGCTTTATCAAGCTAGAATGATTTAGAAAACCCACTGCAGAGAAGAAATTCCAGCTCACCTCTAATGAATAACTTTTTGTGGAAGGGTAAGCAAGTCCCAATAGGTTGCCTCTGACTTTTCACTGCTTTTGTCTCTAAGGTGCCCTTCCTAGATTTAATAATTAGCCAATGATGACCAAAACAAATGAAGTGGAAAAACTACTATTCCTTTAGACTGCTTTAAAATAATTGTGGCAAAACACCAGCAATAAAAATGATGTTTAAGCATCTTTATACTTATTAATTTATATTTAATTATATTTATACTTATATAAATCAACTGCACTTATCTGTGAAATACGGAAATAAAATGAAATGGATTCCCAAGGATGACGCCATGCAATTTTACCTTCAGACAGCATTTTACAATAAACTATGATGTTCAATATAAAAACAGTATCTGCTAAGTTTACTAACAGTTATTTATCTTTTAGTACCTTTATTTTCCTTGGAAATGAATCTGTTGACCCTTCAACTTCTTCTTCTCTGCCTTCTGACCCTGTGTCAAATCCCTGACTTTGTGTAAGAAAAATTCCGTGACCCCAATCTGATCCAGAATCTAAAATAAAACAACCATCTATTATATAAAAGACCCTACCCTCAACAAAAATACACTTTTTACATAAATACTATAATCGTTCCAGAAATGTATATTACTTACCATTCAAACATATTTCTCTAGTTTGGCAAGTATTAGAATGAACTGAAGATTCCTAATTAGAGAAAACAAAAAAACAATTTTGTTTGCTTTAATAAAAAATAGGGCCCAATTAATTGTTTTATTTTAATGCTGTAAAAAAAAGAAAATAAATCAATCTAATCTGGCATACTAGTTACAGTAAATGAACCTATCCATGGCTTTCAACAAGTCTGTCATTTTTTTCCCTCATGGTTATTACCATAAATAAAAAGAGACATTCATGAATTAAGGATTTATTACAGGTTCCAAATCCGTACAAAGACTTTATTATCTAACACTATGTAATAAAAGATTTAAAATTGAAAAAACATAAATAATGTTAAAAAAAAATCAGTACCTCTTTAGATCTCAGGCACTGTAGCACTGCCTTCAAAGTCTCACACTCCTCTGTCAGTAACTGAACAGCAACATAATGTTCCTTCTTCAAAGTTTCAGTTTCTGAAATATGTCTGGATTCCATATCCAAAATTTCAGCAGCATGTAATTCTTGCATCTGCTCAATTTTTTCAGTAAACTGACTTACTATTTCAGAGACTTCTTCTGAGGATTCATTTTGTAAATCAATTTGAATTGCTGTATTTCTAACAAATATCTGTGGAGTTTGACTGCTGCTATTGACCGTGAGAGTCCCCTGTGTCTGGGATGCAGCATCTACTTTAATAGGAAGTGGCTCCAATATGCAGACCTTTCTGTTTTCTTGTATCTTAGTTTTATCTCCTTTTACTAGGAAGTGAGATAACTTGTCTTCTGCCTCTGTGAGCTGATCCCTAACTTGGCTTAAATCTTTCTGAAGAGATGCCATATTTATTTCTTTTATCTAAAACATAATGAGAATTGAGTTAAAATTTTTGCAAATCAAATGCAGAACTTGAAAGTGGGGAAAGGAAGATACAACTCATGCTCATACATTCGCCTCAGAATAATAGGAAAACCATTTCAGAAACACCCATGGGCTTATATATACTTTCATATGTATGTATGATCAAAAGTTACTATTACTAAAGAAAATAATTTTCTACTTTTGGTTCTCACAGGATTTATGGTTCTCTTTAATGTCTGTCTTTTTCTTCCTAATGAACTAGAGATGAAAGCATCCTCCTAAAAAGATTCTCAGGAAAACCAAGCAAGGAAGTACTTGTAAAGAAATTTATAAAAAATCCATTTTTAATTAAACCTATAAAAAGCTTTCTTTTTTATGTAGCTTTAAAATTATGGATCTGTGAAGGAAAGGTAAGATACGTAAAAATAAAAGAATTAAGACTATGTTACTTATCTTACCGAAAGCTCTTCTTGTAGTCTGTCTACCTTCTCTTTGTAACTGGCAAGTTTTTTGTTGGTAGCCACTGACTCAGCTTTAAAAGCCTCAAGTTCATCAAAAAGTGCATTTTCTCCACCAGTATGAGTGACCTCAGTAGCAGTCTGAATAGTAATAGAAAACACCAGACACACATTATTCTAAAGAAATATAGTTAAACTGAAGGCACTTATACATGCTAAAGCAGCCTTTGGAGGAATGCCTGCTTACAAATAAAACAGACTGAAATGATCAGTGCTTTTTTCAACAAATGGAAACTTTTTGAGAACTGTCCTCTTACAACAGTAAGAAAAAATTGACTAAAAACAAAACAAAACAACAAAAAAAACCAAAACACCAAAAAAAACCCCCAAAACAAAGGCTGGGTGTGGTAGTGCGCGCCTGTAATCCCAGCACTCAGGAGGCTGAGGCAGGAGGATTGCTGTGAGTTCAAGACCAGCCTGGGCTACATAGTAAATTTCTAGTCAGTCTCAACTACATAGTGAGAACCTGTCTCCAATAAAAATTTACAAATTATAATTATAATATTATTATTTTTTTGTGGTACTGGGGATTGAACTCAGGACCTTTCACTTGCAAGTCATGGTACCACTGAGGTAAATCCCCCACCTAAAAATTTACAAATTATTAATAAAAATACCCTTTGTTATATTCAAAAGTTTCATATTTGTGCCATTTTCCTTAAAGGATACCAGATGTAGCTAAGATATTCTTAGTAGATATAAATGGAAAGTCACTGGTATTATAAAATTTATTACAAAGAAATGTAGTTCTAACTAACTGAGAGGAAAAAGCCTAGTAAGTGGGAATATTATTGTTATATGACTAATATAATTATAAAATCCTGATATTATCTTCTGGTGTTTACTAAGATTGAACACTCAAAATTGTAAATTCATACAATGAGAATTTTCTTAAAAAGTCCTTGTTATATCTGTCATGCAGTAAAAATAAATGTAACTTCATATATTTATAAAAGTAGACTTACACGGGTCAAATGCAAACTGCAAAGAAGGGTGACATCTATTATCAGGCATGAAATGTGCAAAATTAAAGACTTGTCACACATTAATTCAGTAGAATACTAATAGATTTTGAAACTTTTCATTACTTAAACGGGATGCTATCACATATTAATATCATATATTAAAGGGAAATAAAGGGGGAAACCCCCGCACAGTCCTAGCGGACATTTAGTGAATTGAATTTTATATTCTGACAGTTCTAAATAACGACTATGCTAATGGAATAAATACTATGTTTGAAGGCATTAATGACAGCTTGTATTGTATCCACTCTTCTAGTGATAATAACATCATTACCTGGTGTTAAATTTGGCCTGTCTCTGTATCTTGAGTTTCTGTAATCAAACCTAGCATATAAACAAAAACCTAACCTATGATTACAATAAACAATCAAGTCTCAGTTGAACACAAAGAGCTCTGCTTCAACCAACCACAGGCAATCAACTGATTAAAGAACATCCAAAACAGGCCTACTTGTAACCAGTGAAGCCAAATTTTATTTGGGAGTTCTGTCTATACATACTCACTTGGCCACTGTTGTAGAGTGAAACTTTCTGAACCACCTCAGGGTCTGAGTGCTGCATAATTCATGAATCACTCTTTGCTCAAATAAATTCTGTTAATTTTAGTTTGTTTAAAGTTTTTCTTTTGGGAACAGTATAAATTTTTAATAAAATCCTGTAATGTATAATTTACTAGGTATAAACAGAACACCATATTTAATTTAATAAATTAGGAATCAGTATGACAAACAGAGGAAAAAAGTTACACAGGATATTTAGGTGAAAAAAATATCAAATACAAAACTAACCTTGAGAACTTCAAAATCTCCTTGAGGGCTTCTTTTCCTTTCTTTCATTTCCTGTTTTTTCTTACTGTCTTCCAATTCCTTCTGTAGTTCTAGCAGTTTCCTTTCTTTTTCCAAAACATTTTTCTCTGCAATTTCTACTTGTTCTTTTTCTGAAATCAAACTACTGTGCATGGCTACCACCTGGCTTTCTAATTCTGATATTCTCAAGATTAGTTTGGGCACATCTGAATTCACCTTGTTTTCTGTTATTTGATCTGAATTGTGTACACTAATCCTTTCAGGTTCTGATGAAATTGTTTGCCTATCCCGACAGAACTTCATACATTCCTGAACTGCCTCAAGCTGGGCCTGACTCACAAGGGCAGCAGCTACTTTCTCCTCGAGTATTTTTTGTAGGTGTACAATCTTCTTTTGAAGCATTTCTGTTTCCGACTGGCCTTGCTCTTGCATGTCCTTTATTTTTTTATAACACTGGATAAGTTCTAAGTCCTTTGTACTAACAGAGCTCTCAAGTTGTAGCAATTTTGTTTCCCAACTTCTGGAAAGTCTGGTGCTTTCTTCCAAAGACTGGAGGTAAATCTGATTTTCTAGGGGACTGAAAACATCCTCACTAAGGACTACTCCCAGTTCAGGTTTTTCTTCGCTGAGCTCATCCAGAGCCACAGAAACACTTTTCGCTGGTACATTTTGGATTTCCCCCTTATTTTCACAGTCTCTCTTCAAAGTGCATAATTCTTGTGTTAGTTGATTCATTTTAAAATTGGTTTCCTTAAGTACATTTTTTGTGAAGGCCATTTCTTCATTAGTGGTTTCTACTTGCTGTTCCAAAGCCAGTTTTTCAGCTATAACTTTATCTAACTGATGCTTTAAGCTGTCTGCTTCTTCTGGAAGGGAATTAGCATACACTGAAGTCTTCTGTTCAATATTTGACAATTCCTGTTGAAGTTTTTCAATCACTTCATTGAGCTGCTCTATTTCTTCTGCTCTATTTTTCTTCACACATTCTTGATCACTCAGCAAACATTCTATTTGGGTTTCAAGATCCCGTATAAGTTCATTTTTTCCTTCAATAACCTATTAGTTAATGAAAAAAGAAAACATGGTTATATGAATGTTTATCTTGGAAAATTTATTTTATTTTATTTTAGGGCAGGACCTTAAGGAGATGATTTTTGTTTTGTTTCGTTTTTTGAGACAGGGTCTTGGTATGTAGTTCAGGCTGGCCTTGAATTTGTGGTGATTTTCCTGCCTCAGCCTCCCAAGTGCTGGGATTACAGCGTGTGTCACCATGTCTGGCTAAAGAGAAAATTTAGAACAAGGTATACTGTTTTCCTCAGACGTACTATGTTACTTTGAATATAGATCACCACCACCCCATCAAATCAAACTTCCTTCTGGAAACTCTGTCAAATATAAAGTAGTTTATGCTTTTACGAGTTCATTTCCTATTAGGAAAAAACAGTCAATGTCAGTACATTTTATTGAACAGTGCCCTCTCTACCCACCCTGTGTGATTAAACCTAGGGCTGCATTGAGCTACATGCACACTCTATTTTTTTTGGAAGACAGGGTCTTGCTAATTCACTAAGTTGCCCAGTCTGGACTTGAACTCATGATGCTCCTGCCTCAAACTCCCACAGTGCTGCGATTACAGGAATGTACCTATCACCACACCAAGCTCAAGGATGAAGTACGGACATAAAGTCTAGAACAGATGGCACCCGAAGGTGATGCATATTAAATGGAAGAATTTTCTACAGATTTGATTAGAATATCATGAAATCTGAGTCACAAAGCTTTCTTGGAAAATAGTAAATTACCTTTTGAGAATATTAGGAATCAACAAAAATATACATATTTTAAGCCAATGTATCTAATTAAAATTAACGAGTAAAAGAGATACGATTTTTTAAAAATTCAACAGGAAAGTAGTAATAATTATCACCATGTAGCCCTTTGAAATTTCTCATATTAATTTGAAATTACTCATATTAATTTGAAATAATAACCAATTGTAAATGAGCATACCTTGTTATCTATTGCATGTTTAAGTTGCTGCTGAAGTTTTATAATTTGCTCATTTAATTGACCAATTTCTACCTCTTTTTCTTGTATTATTTGAGCAAATTTTCCAAATAACACATGTTGGTCTTGAGTAGAGATAGCATCAGATTCCTTTATGGCAAGTCCCAGTTTCTCCATTTCATCCTAAGGACAATAAACAAAAAAGTGAATAAACAAATTTCAATAAAGTAACGAGACAACAAAACTATACGAATATATATTTACATTGTCATTTCCAGAACATTCTTTCATTTGAGTCATAAAAATATAATACTATAATATACAAACAAAAAATTAATACCCATAACGTATAAAACAAAAAAATTACACAGTTCATAAGTCTTCAAATGTTTTAATTTTTTAAAAAAATCACCAACATTTTTATTTATGATGAACTTAAATGTTTAGGCTGAGTAGGACATAAGTTCCATGCAAATCCATTTGCTCGCTAATGTTCCTCTGGTAAGTACTGTTTAGCAGCTGAATTTAGTAAATGTTTATTAAGGCTATATAGGAGCAAAACTATGAATTATGTATAGAAAAGTTTTTCTAAATTAATTACCTTAAATAATTTGTTTTCTTGTTCAAGTTCTTGTAGGCGGGTAGTAGATTCCTTTTTCTGTATTTCTAATTGCATATGGAGTTGCTGAACCTCTTCATTCTTATTTTCCAGTTCTTCTCTAAACTGCTCTAATTGTTCTTCTAAGTTTGTAATCTTTAATGCCAAAATTATCAAGAGAAAAAATGGTTATATAAATGTTTTATTTGTCAAGATAGAATGAAGGGTGCTATACTAGGTTTACAAAGTATGTATACTTAAAACATGTAAATCATGGGAATACAGGAGAGTAGTTTTCTAAGCCAGCTGTACCTACAGAGTTCTAGACATGCTCACGCTGCACATTCTTAAAGCTATCTTGCCCAGAGCAGAGAAAACACCTGAAGGAAGGTCACAAGAAGCCTTTTTCTAAGATACTGCACTGACACAGAAGAGTGAAGGTAGGGAGAAGTCCACGTGCTACACCTTAAATTTATGTTGTTTATCTGCTATCAAAGAAACTTCTAAAAAATTCATTGAGATATTTTAGTAAAATTAGCTCAATTCAGTCCACAAATACCTACTTAACCAAATGAAAGGCTTGGCTGCTTGGTGGTTTGCTAAAGGAGAAGGATGTACGGTAAATACCAAGACCAAGAGAGGCCCTCTGGTCTGAATTACGGAAGCCCTAGAGCAGTGGTGGCAAACCTGTGGCATGTGTGCCATCACCACCCTAGAGTAACTTAATAATATAATTTTAGGAGAAAATTAGCTCCTATATGTTGGACAACAGGAATTTAGTTAATTTCTGGAGATGGATAATGGTAAAGCACTACCTTTGGTGGTTATATAGAAACTAAACCTAATGATAAATATTAAGAGCTAGTTATTATATTTAAAAAAAAAACAGGTTTTACCAAGGAGAGTTAACATTTAGCTCCATTGCTTTGCAGCTACTTAATAAATATTTAATGAATGGATTTCCAAATTTGCATTTACCTGAACATCAAAACTGCTGCATTAAAAGCAACCTAAGATGCAGGAGCAGTGTTCAGTGGCAGCTGGCTCAATGTAACTTATAAATCCTTTGGTGCCTCAGAAGCTGAAAAGGGGCATATGCTGCTTACATACCGACACATCACATAATTAGAATCTTAATTTAGTATTGGCAAGGCAAGACTTTAAATCTCAGACTAATATTTCTTAAACAGAAACAGTATCGTTACTATGAGCCATCATTTACAGGCAATTCACTGCTAGGCACAGTACAAAGTGCTTTATGTATAATATGTTTTAAAATACCTGTAATAATCTTCATTAGGAGACCTCTTCTATGATTATCTCCATTTTAGAGGTGAGAAAGGGAGTCACAAAGAGGACTAATTGAGACTTAGGGCACAGGAAGTGTGTGGTGAAGCTGCTCTTTGAACCTGGTTAGTTTTTACCTCTGGAGCCTTCCATTCTAAACTATTATTTATCCTGATCTAGTAAGTACTAAGACACTTAACAATTTTCCTCTAACACTGGTATTAATAAACTCTGTAGACAAATACACTTATTAGTTGTGCATATATAATTATCAGGTCAGTGTGCTGAAAATGGTGGTAATTATATCTTCTTTAAAGTTATCTAACAGCATTTATATCTATTTCTATCTTCTACAACTACTTCTGATGATAAACCATTAAAAAATCAACACATATATGGTTACTTAAGTTCAAAACCGCTACACTATATTCCATGATGTTTAATATTTTTTTGATACATTACTTAGTAGTCAAATTCTTAGCTCTGTGACCTAAAGCCTTGCTCCAGAAAGTGTCATCTCTGGATAGAATTCTCATCCTGGGAGAGCCTGGGCAGAACCACATGCTGCGAAGACCAGCACATTCACAAGGCCTCCAGGTGATTCATATGTACATAAAAGTGGTCTATAGTACTAACATTTTAAAATAGCTGAATCTGAGATGTTACCTTAGAAATTTTAACCCCCAAAACAATACTATTAAATATTTTTTCTTTTTATTCAACCAGCCTCTAATTTCAGACCCAGCCTATTTTAGTACTCAGCCTATAGCAACTCTCAAGAACATTATAAATGTTTAGATATTGTTTATTTATTATATTTAGACTATTCAGATTAATTTGAACCTATGTGTGTTTTGTTTGTTAAACGTTTTATCTCTTTCAAATGTATGTCTCACTAATTAGCTGATTGTTTGAAACCTGGTGCTAGCTTTCCAGCTAGACAGAAATGTGTCATTGTAGTAAGTGTTCAATAAATGTCTAAAAATGAGACTAGATCTTACTACGCTACCTCAACTGACCTTGAACTCCTGCCTCAGCCTCCAGAACACCTGGGACTACAGGTATGAATCACCATGTCCACATGCGTTTTATTCTTTTGGGAAGGGATGGAGCAGAGAAACACAGGAGAACTTTATCTAGTTATTTTGTATTATCACCATTTTGACGATGTTGGAATTGAACTCACAAATTTGTACGTGCTAGGCAAATGTTCCACTATTGAGCTAGACCAAGCCCTAGTTACTTTATTAGTCACCTTTTAAGAAAAAAAAGCTAGGGTTAGTGGTACATTCTTGTAGCTAGACTACACTGAGAAGTGCTATGTCAAAACCAGTACAGAGATAAACCTGTGAACAGGCTTTTCCTTACTAGATGAGTTTCTCCACCTCAGCACTATTGGGATATTGTGGACAGTTCTGTTATTGAGGGTTGCTCTGTATATTGGAGGATATTTAGCAGTACCCTTACGCTCTACTGGATGTCTGTATCATCTTCTGCACTGGGCCCACACCCTATCTTATGGCAACCATTGTTTCCAATGGCACCAGACAATGACACACAGCAAAATCCTATCTCAGAAAAAAACCCCCACCTAAACAAACAAAAACCCTCAAACCCTTCAAACTTGTTTTATATATTGTAAAAATAGTAATATAAATCTCTTTGAGCAATAGCTTTAAAAACAATATTGACAACAGAAACCCACAGCAGAGCAGCATTAACTCAAAGAGAAGCACTACCTTTTTGGTCTAATATTCCTGTATCTCTCCACTCTGCTCTTCATTCAACCCTTATCTGCTAAACTGGCCTTTTTCCCCTTTAAATGTCTTCTTCTGCAAGGCTTCATACTCTGTATCCTCTGTACCTGGAACACTCTTCCTTACAATTAGCTATTTGTTCATAGGTCTTTTATTGTCAGAGTTAATTTACACATGGAACTGAGAAACAGTCGGAACACAGGTTTTAGATCACAAAGTTCATTCTTGTCAAATGATATCTTCAAGGTATCTGATAATCATTCAAAGCACACTTTGCTAGTTGAAAATAACTGCTTACCTCTTTTTCCTTTCTATCTATAGCATCTCGCTCAGCCTGTAACTGTACTTCTAGAGACAATTCTGCTTTGGCTTCTACAGCTCCAAGTTGTCTTCTGTCTTCCACCTTTAAATACATAAGAACTTCCTCAAAATTTTAGACATTAAGTTCTGATTATCCATTGTATTTGCACATGCATGTGTGTGGGGTGTTTGGACGAGTAGTAATTTTCTATCTCTAGTTAGAAGGAGAAAACCTACATTTGTGAATAATCAAAAAGTTACAGATATTCACCCTTGAATGCATTTTTCCATAAATACGAATAGGACCTTTTGACATTTAACATTCAGATGAAATGAAGGTGATCTCCCATGTGCACTCAGCCCTGCCCTAAGCTTCCTTCTTCCTCTAGCTCTTCTTTTATTCAGTTTTGCTTTCTGCAGAATAATGATGGATTTAATTACTTTTTAATTTGGGGCAAAGATCAGCCTAAACAGGTGTCCCTTTTTCATTTGGCTATCACTGATGGATAAAAGTTGAGTAATTTATTCTTCTTGTAAATAATTAAAACTTCTTTTAGCAGGACTGAAGTACAAAAGCAACATTTGGAAATTTTAAAAATGCTTATGAGGTCAACAAAAACATAAATACATGTATTATGTAATAACATGTCAATATAATTTTTAATTTTAAAGACCTAATGTTTGTATAACTGAGTAATCTTCACTAAAACACAATAAAGTTAACTCAAATAAATGTCACACCAAGGGCCGGGGATTTAGCTCAGTGGTTCCGCTGACTGCCTTGCAAGTGCAAGGATCCAAGTTCAATCCCCAGTACAAAAAAAAACAAAAAACCAATAAAAGAACCCCATACCTTTTGAAAAGTATCAGCACTAACGAGTAAAGCCTGCTCCAGTTCTCTTACTCTGAACTCCAGTTTTTCAATTTCTTCATTCCGTTCTTGTACATCTCTCTGAAGCTGCTCTTTACATAGCAAAAGCTCGCTGCACTTGTCTGTTTTTTCTTTCAGATTATTTGTTAACTGTTCAACCTGAAAACACAGTAAACAAAAAGTATAATTTAAATTTCTTAGGAAGTTCATAATTATAAAACATATCTATTTGCATTTCAAATAATATTTTAAAGAGAATTTTTAAATGCTACACTAATTTCTTTCTTTCTTTCTTTTTTTTTTGCTGAACTGGGGAGATGGAACTCAGGACCTTGCACTTGGAAGCAGGCGTGGTGCCACTGAGCTAAATCCTGGCTCTCATTTTTTGATAATAGAAACCATTGTCCTCAACCAAGGTGGCATTTTTTTAAGTTGATAAAACTAGGGAGCACTAGTAAAAAAAAAGTAATTATTTTTTCACTCAATCCTTTCTTCAATGTTAAGACTTTCTTCTTCTAGGAAGAGAGGAAAAATACATTTTGAATAATGCTGAATTAGCCAATGGCAAAACTACACTGAGATCTAGTGACAAATCTTTCTATACTTACTGACTTACTCTTATGTGAGGTAAGATAACCTTAAAAAAAAAAAAAAAACTTTAATAGATTTCATTTTGACAACATCTATTTGCAAAGTTTTTTTCAATCTACGCATTTCACCAGGCCAGAATGAAGATACAATGGGTTCATGAGAAGATCTGGGCACTGTGTAAGTTTCCCCTAAGTGTTTTCAAAGTCTTGGCTTCTTTCCCCAAACCTAATGATGAAGTGACCCAGGACGTTCACCTTAAGACTAATAAGCAGGACCTTTCATGTCAATGGCTATGTGACAGAAAACTACAGGAAGGTATAATAAGGCAGTTTTTGAAATTAGTTCTGATCACAAGTGAGGAAATAAAGTTAATAAAAAGACATTATATAGTAAGAAATAGTGAAATACTTTGAGAAAATTATCCAACAATGACAGTTATTCTTGAGAATGTTAAAAAAATGCAAGCTTAACAATAATTATAGGTTTAAGGATGACAGTAATAAAGTTACTGAGGAGAAACTTTAGGTTGATCCAGATTTGGAGTAAGGTCAAAAGAAAATGCAGGAAAACATAAAATATGAGATGGGTAATAGTACTGTCTCATTTTTTTTTTTATTGAGTTTATTGGTACATTTAGGGATACAGTACAGTTACATTCATTGTTGGGATCATGTACCTTTACATGGCAAGTCTTGATTCTCATTTTTTTCCCCTTACCTCTGCCCTCCCTTCACCCCCTCCTCCCCTCCCCATCTACAAACACTTTATTTTCATCTTTTCATTCTCTCACATTTTTTTCTTTTCCCTTTTTGTTCTTCCCCTACGTACCACACCTTCCCTACACCTTTAGCTCCTTTCCTCCCATTTCTAAATGTCAGTAATCTTATTAGAATCTTATGCATTGTTGCAGAATATTCACACCAGGGAAACTATTTGGTATTTACACATGTGGGACTTATTTATTTCACTTAGGAGTATATCTTCAATATGTATCCATTTTCCTATTCATAGTACTGTCTCATTTTAGCAATGAATAAACAGGAGATTTGAGAGGTTCTGTGACTTGATCATTTTCACAAACCTAGTAAATAGCAGAAGCATGATTCAAACTAGGATTGTTTCACCTCAAGAAAAATCTCTTTATCATGCCACTGTTAGGAATTTATACTGAGTTTTCCCTTAGGCACATAGCATTCATTTAGTAAATACAGAGTTCTGATTATGTTTTCCTTTTACTAGTATCACTGCTTTTATTTTGTTATACACTATTATACTTAAATTACGTTAAATACTTAAATTAAAATGGCATTTAATATCATACATTGTACTCCAACATGGATGGTACATCTTACTTTAAAAATTTTTTTTGAATTTGTAATTCAATACAGGTCCAGTATATTGAGAAAATGCATAGTGAAAAGTTCTCTCAGCATATGCAGAGTTCCAAAATTAAAAAATGGATTCAAATCTCAATCTTATTGTTTTTCTCCTATAAAAGGAGATAATTTAGCATTGAGTGAAATTATCCATCAAACTATTTGACTAATAGATAGTGAACAGATTTGGATAATTACATGTCATTTATTTCTGTGGTTTTGTCAATAGCACTGGGAACATTAATATCAGTTAACTTAGACTAACTCCATTAAAGTACATTAATGCTTCCAATTTATAAATATATCAAGGTCCTAATACATGGTAGTTTTTGTATTTTAATTTAGAGACAGAGAAGAGCAAGAACTGAGTTTTCTTCCCATTAACTTTTCTTTCATATACTAATTCTAAGAAGTAAAATTACCTAAAATATTTTTGACTTGAGAAATTTTAAAGGACTCTGTATTGAGTGAGAGACTGTTACCATCTCTGAACTTACTCAAGCCCTTTACAGAATCAAACAATAGAAAGTAAACTGTCCACAATTCCGGAACACAATCTAGTCACTCTGATTCCTGTGACCTCATGTTATTCTATAAAGTGAAAAGTTGATCTCTCATTAATCTCCAACTAACTACATAGCAAATGTCACCAAGGCTGCTTTTTATAGAAATTTTATAAATCACTCTAGACTTAATGAGTTAGTATTTGAAGGGTGGTTTCCAGAGTCTATATTTTAAATTTTCTTAGTCACCCAAGTATGGCACCTTCCAGTCTAGTCAGTAACTAAAAACCTTTCTTCTAAACTTCTTCTCTTCTGTAAAATGGATTGGCATTTGGGAGTATATTCATTATGGTCATTAAGGATTGTTTTATTCTAAAATGACATTTATAATAAAGTGGATCAACGAGTGTGCTACTTAAGAGTTCAAATCTGCTGCCTGTGCAAGGTCCTGAGTTTGATCCCAGGTAGCCCCCGCCCCAAAAAGAGTTCATATAGGAACAGGCAATATGGTTTACAGTATAACAAAATGTATTTTCATAACTAATTATAGGCCAGTAATGCATTTAAACTAAATACAGAACTTCAATGCATTCTGCACAAAGAATTTATATAGTTATTTAATAATATAATATCTAGTTGTTTAATAAAGTAAGTATAGTCTAAATTTGAAAACCAAAATACCAAACTATTAAATAAATCACTATATGGCATAAGACACCATAAACTTATCTATACAAACAGCAAGCAGATTTTTACACTAGAAGAACAACAGGTTTAAAAACAAAAACAAAAACAAAAAAACTAAACTGAGCCAAAAATTCAAGGATTAGGAATTTAGAAATAGCTGGTTGAGGTCTAATAGGGGCCTTTCAGCATCAGATTCTTTTTTGTTTTGTTTTGTTTTTGGTACCAGGGAATGAACTCCGTGCTTACTTATGCTTGCAAGGCAGACGGCGGCACCACTGAGCTAAATCCCAAGCTTTTCTTTTTTTTTTTATAAAAATAAAAACGTTTCAAACACAGTAGTATATTTCTTCTTTAGCAAAACTCTTCCTTTTAGAACCCAAACTCCTACCATCATGCATCAGATTTGTGAAAAATGTGTTAATTTCTTTAAGTACTGATTCAGATGTTGATTCTGCTGCATTTTCTTGTAATTTTTTTCCCCTCAGTGAACCTTGGGCCTTTAACAGTGAAGACACTAAAATATGCTAAGATAAATACTGGTCTTAGTGAGCCTTTCTTCATAAACAAATTGGGAACTATTTATTGAAGGTCTACATTTCCAACCCTAAAATGTACTAGACAGACAAAAGCCCTGCTCTAGAGAGTCCCCCATTTATAATATAATAGGTCAAGCACTGACTCTAAACTATGAGCCTTCAATTCATCTTCAGACTGTGCAGATACTGATTTCCTCTGTAAGCGCAAATAAAATCTTTTACTATGCTTCTCATTTTTTGAATACTCAGGATGGGTACTTTTAAATCTGTAGGATAAGACCTATATTTTGATTTCTAAGATTATGTGAACTTAACATAATCTCTTTCAGTTATTCTAACATATGCTCCACAGTTCTGTCAAACCTGCTGGCATTTTCTGTGACTTTTTGTGACAGTTTTCTGTTACTCGTTACTGTTATCCTTGCCACAGCCTGATCATCTGAGCTTTCCCATCGTCCCTTTCCTGACTTCTTATCCACCTGGATGACTATTTTTATCACTTCCTCAAAAGTTAGGTTTTTAATAAAAAAATAACTCATCAGCATTTTTGATCAGTATTTCTTTAAGCTTTATCTTTTCTGTAGTGTTATCTTCAAAAACCCTAATTGGAGCATTGTCTTAAAAATGCTATATTAAGAGACTGATAAAGAAATATGTAACTCAGCAAAGGATACTTCTACTGTACTGTCAACTCCCAGTGATATATATGGGATTCTGCAAGAACATTGTTAAAACTATTTGGTATGGGACATGAGTTTATACATATAATGGTAAGATCAAGAAATTAAATTTTTGGTTCTTTAATATTGAGTTAAAATTTACATGACATATTAAGTTTGAAAACTTTAAATGTAAATGATAGTTATATATTCATTGGTATGTCTGGGATATTTATCAAAAATATATTAAATAATCAAACTATTTGACTTTACAAAATGCTATTGAGAAAACTGTCATCTGTGATTCATAATCAATTGCTTTATATTTTTAACTCAAAGACAATTATGTAACATTAGAAAATTTTAATCTTCCAAATGTACTCAGAAAAAATTATCACATTTATCTTCCAGGTGAAAAATACAGTTACATAATCCATTTGCCACAAATGAACTCCCTACTTGTTTTGGAAGCTACTAGTCAACAACTGCATGATCACCTGTGGTCATTCATAACCAGTCCCTCCTCACATGATATGTACGAAAAAGGGACAAAGAAGTCATCTTTCATTATTTCAATGACCCTTGGTGTTTTCACTGTATGTTAAATGCCCAATTTCACTTTAACAACCAAAACAAAAACACCAATTTTTATTTTGACAGATAACTGTATGTTCCTGATAGCAGATATTAGCAACTTCCAACAAGATCTCTAGGGATAATTCTCAGTTCTGAACTATGCTTTAGAAAAACATTTATTTGCCTGCTGATTAGGACATCAATGTATCACTGTGAATATAACAGTTTAAAGATCTAAGTATGGGTGCAGTCTCAGCAGTCTGTAAATGACTTATTCCTATTCCAACACTGGTAATAACTGCTCTTGTTGCTGCAGGAACCTGAAATTCTTCTGCTGCAAACTTTAAGACTGCTGTGAAAGGTATGCTTTCAGGAATACTGAATACTTTGCATGACAGCTGCAGGTCTGACACCAGCCTGATCTTAAAGGAGACCTATGACATGGTGCATCTTGCCTGGACAGTCACCCAACTCAGGCGAGCTGCCCACCCTGTTTTAGTATGAGGAAAATGGACAGAAAGGGTGAAAAAGGAGCAGCACGGGGATTGTTCAGGAGGCTACCACAATCATCAGGCAAACTGATGACAAGTAAAGAATACAAAGATGTAGTACAAATCTGACCTAGCAATGGGTTGGAAGGAGAATTGAAAAAAGAGACCAAGGAAGAATTCTATGTCTTAACAATGAGCAGAAGGTATCAACTTTGAGATGAAGAAGAACTATGCTTTATTCTTGTTTCTCTTGGTAAAGGTTCATTAAGGGTCAAAAGCTTTTTTTTGGTCACATTAATCTTGAAACATCTAAGAGGAGAAAGAACAAGCAGCTAAATATTGAAGTATGGAGCTCAACAAAGATGTGAGGAACAAAGGAACAACTGTGGAGTCATTTTTAGATGACTGCCTGAGCAGTGTATGTTATGTATGTATGTATGGCAGAAAAAGAAGCTTGAGACTAATTCATGGGGCACCTCATCATTTATGGTGGGCAGGTGGAGAGAAAAAAGAGTAGAGAAATCAGTGGAGCAGGTATGTCACAGAAGCCAAAGGAAAGAAGTGTTTTCACAAGAAGACTGTACTGAATGCCCCTGAATGGTTGAGTAGGACGAAGACAGAGAGATGATACCTGACACAGGCATGAGAATAGAGGTAACTGTCACAAAAACAGTGTAGAGGGCACAAAACCCCAAAACAGATGACTTGGAAACTTCATTGGAGTGGACGGAGAAGGAAATGGGAAATGTAGTGAAGAGTGAATACAGAGACAAAAATAAGTAAATACAGAGAATTCCTTTGACCAGTTTTGTTGGAAATAGGAGTTAAAAAAAATGAGCAGGTAAGTTTATCTAACTGGTTAATAGTAGAAGATATATGCAGATGAAAATAACTTCAAATTTCAATTCAAACTATTTGTTTTTCTTGCAGTGTGAAAAATCTAACGCAGGGCCTGGCTCATGCTGATCATCTCACATTTGAGTAATACTGATTTTCTGATTTTTAAGATTTATATGCAATAAAAAGAATTCTCCTTTAAGTTTTTCATTAAGTAGATTTTATTTTGTTCACAAGATACAAATTAATGTAAGGTAGGCAAATCAGTAAAGTTCTTACCTCCCTAGTTTGATGTTCACTGACAGGCTGAAATCGAGGTACAACCTTCAGCTGCTGTTCCAGTTTCTGTATTTCCTGTTGGAATACATCCCTCTCATGTTCTCTATCAATAGCTTGCTCCTGAAATTTAATAAGTGAAGAAACAATATTTACTGAACTCATTATTTACCTTATTTACCTTTTGTTAAAGGTTAGTTCTGTTTGAAGACAAAGAACTGATGACCACAGAATACCCTGAACCACAAAGGTTTAAAAAGACAACAGTTTTGGGGGCAGTGTCATGTATCTTATCAGGGCTCGTCAACAAAAACCTAAGTGTTTAAAAAATATTAGAAGTATATTTTTTAATTTCATATAATGTTAAATCAGAAGGAAAAAAATTCTTAAAATGAAATGACATTTTTGCACAAAGGAAAAAGCCTACTGCCGATTTAGTCATTAAAATAAGTGCAAAACTTGTCTCTTAAGTCAGTTTCTTTAATCCTAATGTTTCATACCTAACATTAGAAAATGTATAAGAATGTGACATTCTGATGTGTGAACAGAACATCAGACTTATATGAAATTCTAAATAAGAAAATCTGTGTGAGATTGGAGATTTAACTTTGTTTTGGAGAAAACCATAAATGGCATCATGCCAACTGCTCTAGTCCCACTTCCAAGTTACTTATGTGTATTTTTTGTAGGGGAAAGCAGTGGTGGCCAGTCAGCTCTTAGAATCCCCATTTGCTTTGGTATTGATTAAATGAAAGACTAGGACATGCTTAACTCTGAATCTGGAAAGATCAGTAGGACTTATTCCTGTTCTTTTTTTTTTTGGTTTTCATATGTACTATGGATTTAATCCTGGGCCTTGTGCATGTACTCTACCATGGAGCTACATTCCCAGTACTGACTGTACTACTTTTAATTCTAATTATTTTACAATATAAGAATTTTTAATGAGATTAGTACTCATTTACCGGGGACCCCTACAGTGGGTTCCCATCTCCTGCTCAGTGCTACAAAGCATGGGGAGAAGAAAGACACAGAGACAGAGTTAAAGAGACAGATACACAGGGAGCCAAGAGTAGTGCTTTGAGTAGTCAGAGACTTGAACAAGCAAAGGCCTTAAACACCCAGAGCTGTTGATATGTACTAGTGACACTGCAGTAAGACTGAGGTAAAGGGGCTAAGTGACAGGACATGTAGCTGCCATAGACACATTACTGATACAGGCAAGGCTTGCAAAGGAAAAGACAAAGCATTCTTGAATTAGAAACAGAACAGAAAGAATATAGGTTTTTGGTTAATAATTAACCTTGTCCTTTCAGTAAAGGTTTTAACTCTGGGAACAGAATTTGGGTGCGAGTCACTCTGACCTCAGCATGTAGTCTTTTGCCAGACTCACTTCTATAAACAAGCCATTTGTGGGGTTAACTCTTCACAGCCTGCACTGCTTACAGCCTGCTTTGGGCATAATAAGTGGGTTGGTTCCCCACACTTTGTTCATTACTGTACAATACAAATATGGGTGAAAATAAGTCATTCGAGAGTCGCCATGATTTAAAATTCCCAGCCTAGAACAGCAGTAAGTAGCATTCGCTTGAGAAAAATCAATATTCAAGTTGAGAATACTTACATCTAAAAATTTTCTCATTTTTTCTAACTGCTTTTCCAGTGCTTGGTTTTGCTGTCTTAAATCCATTAGTTCAGCATTTTTCTCTTGTTCCAGCTCTATAAACCTACTGACTTGTTCTTCAACATCTATTTCGAGAGCTTTCACTTGCTTTTGAAGGTCATCACGTACTTTTTCTGCTTGACACTGTACTTCTAGCTTTTCCTTCATTAGTTTTTCTGTCTCCTGTAGTAACTCTGTTTATAAATATGAAAACAGACCAAGGTAGATATAATTAATGATGTTATAATAAAATCACCCATAACTATATTTAAATTTTACCTTCATAAAATAAAGGCTGAGACTTACTTTAAATACGTGTTAAAAAGTATTTTCTTACACAAGTCTCAAAATTATCTCACTTCTACATAAGTAAGCTAGTATTAATTGATACAGAATTAACCAAAAAGTATGTTGTGTGACAAAAAATTAACATTCGTGTGAAAACAACATAGTAAGTGACCCCCCCCAAATCTACGTTCACTATTAGGGAAGGTACAAAGTCCAATTAAATTCAAGCATAGGAAAAAAAAAAAACTCACCATTTTCTTTACCTCAGGCAAAATTAATTCATTCCAAGCCCATAAAGTCATTTGTATATGCATATATAATACACAAAGATCAAAGGCTATATCATAACAGAATTTCCTGTCACGCTTACTCCTTTTGAGATCCATACTCCTGAGATGCTTTTGCATGCTCACATGTATGTGGATGCAGGGAATGTCGACATGTGTAAGGGGCAGAGACACTGGTGATGAGGAGCAGGCTTTGGGCTCAAGAGCTCTGAGCCTTTTCTCCTATGTTACACTTAATACGACATTCTTCACTTTTCTTAGACATAAAATGAGTGTTGTTATCAATCTCTTAGAATGATTTTGGGATCAAATGAATTATGATATGTAAAGAATAGTGACAAACACTATGTAAATGTTATTTTTATAAATTATAGATAGGCCAATAGCATATTCTAGAATCTTCATACTATACTAACTGATGTGTTTACAGAACAAAGACTAACAATCTGCAGAAAACAATATTCTTTTTAAAACAGTACTGCTACACGTTGGTAATATAAAAATAAATCAGTCAGAAAGCCTGTTATTAAATTTCACTGAATCTTTTGCTACCACCATCTTCCTGATTTTGAAAAGCTATAGATGAGTTTAATGTACTCATAAAACAAAATTAAAACTCAACGTTGTCTTTTAAAAAATCATTTAAGCTCTGTATAAAACTAGATACATCAAATAATGGTTACTATGAAACTCAATTTCAAACAACAATGTATATTTTTATTGTAAAATAAGTTGTCTAGTTGTTGTTAAAGATAAAAACTGTAAGTATAAAACACAACAACAAAACTGCAAAATTAGAGACATGTTAGTTGACTGAAAATCCCAGAGTCACCCAAATTTTGAATTGTAAATCAACCACCTGAAACAGTCCATGCAACTGTACACACGCACACGCACACACCTGCTCCAGGTGCTGCATCAACTGCAGCATCTACTAGTCCTATGAGAATAGAAAAAGACATAACAAAGTATGACTGTCTTCATTTCTTATGACAATGCTTTATGCACACATGCATTACAATTAAAATTTGAAGTCACTGTTTATCATTATTAGTAATATTTGAGAAGTTCCAGTATTTCTTGAATATTTTGTACTTATGACTTGTATTTATCCCACACTAATAATTCCAACCCTAATTCTGTGTTGAAAATTTGAGCACCAGAAAAACTTCAGTCTATTACAAAAATGTATACTATATTCTAAATAGATAAAATGAAATTAGAGACATGTCTAATTTCCACTGCATGTGCAATATAAAAGTGAGAGGACATGATAAACAGGATTTAAAGTTCCTCTGTTTTGGAGAGTGGTATCACTGAACACCTTTAACTTCAAGATGTTATTGAATTTCTCAGTTAAGGAAAAATTAAAGTTTACTTGAAAATTTAAATATTATTTGAATGCCTATTTAGACGAGATGTCAGGCTGCTTCTAGCAGCAAATGGCTCTTTCAAACTATTTTGCTTGGAGGCCCAGGGCTGCCATACCTACTTACTACTGGCCCCAGATCATTGTTCTTATTTAATTCAACAACATATTTTTGTTGCCTCTGCTATTAAAAGAACTAAACCTCACACAATTTGTAAAATATTTAGCCTTACTCTTTGTAACTTTATCCTGAGGCAGAGATTTGGGGATAAAGAAATATCTTTTTTTTAAACAGCTAATATCTGCCAAAAGTTAAAAAACAACAACAACAACAAAAAACCAAACCAAAAACCCCCTAGAGATGCTGATTCCACATGATTGACTAATAAAACTATTAGATCTTTTTTCTTATATAATTTTTAATGTTCCTACGTAAAATACACAAAAATGGTTCTGAAAGGAGAAAAAAGTTTAAATAATATAAAAGAGGAATGTTTCACACAGTCTAAAAATACATACGCTGTTCAACTGGGCCCGCCTCTGCCTTCATAGCCTCCTTCTGTCTGGACAGTAATTCTCTTTCTTCCTGGATCTGCTGCTGCTCTGCTTCCAATTCTTGCAATCTATTACCTGCACACAACAACTCCTGTTCAAGATGATCTATTATATCAGTTTTTTCCTGAATTTGCCTTTCAAAAAGAGTTTTTTCATCTGCATAACCATCAATGACACCTGTAACAAAATTATCAAGGAATGAAATTACTACTCATTTGAATTTACCATTAGGTTTTTATATAAATAAAAGATGTACTATTAACAAAACTTTAAAGCATTCTAACCTATTAAGTTTTGAATTTGCTGCAAGTATTAATGTTTAATATGATATATTCGGTCTTTTTCTTGTTTACCATGGTGCGTCAATACAAAATTTTTCTAAAATTCTACTACTGTACCTGGCTATACTAAGATATTATATTATGTATGTGTAACTCACTATGAAACAGAAATAGGATCTTGGAAAGCTTCATGTAAATCAGATACTTCTGAACTGAAATTACATGTTAAGTACAACAGAGAAGACTAGCACTTTATATAATTCCAGGCCAATACCCTCAACAACTTGAGAGAATAGAAAAAGCCTGTGGCGTTAGAGGCTAATGGTTCTTTAAACAAGAGTTATCTTAGTATGGTAGGATTATGGATCTCATTACCATCTATTTCTGTATTTTCTAAAATTTTAAATGTTTTCTGTAATTCTCTAAATTCTTCCTTTAATATCATGTGTGTATATGTGCGTGTAGTTGTAAAAACTGTTTGGAGGAACTCTGAAAACAAACTAAAGCACTTTTCAGTGGCTGCTCTAAATTAAGAGTGTTTTCAAATCTGGCTGTACATCCAAAGTTCTATTTTAAGATCAAAATGTCTCCAGTCTCAGTTGCCAAAGATAAGGTGCCTACCCTCAGCCTTACTGAGCTCCACAGCCAGCTGTTCTCTGGCCCTGGACTCCTCATGAAGGCGCTCTCGCAGTTCTTCTTGGCACTTGAGGGATTCTGTTGTTTCTTCTTTCTGTCTAAATGACTCACGCATCAACTCTGTCTGTGTAACTTTCGCATGTTCGAGCTGAACCAGGAGGGAAAGAACACATTAAGGATGATAAAGTATTGGTAATATCAGTGTCATTTTCAAGTAAAGCTTAAAAAAAGATTTAAAATAAAAATATACTATTAAATTACAGTCACTTCACTATTTCCAACACTTGTTAATATTAGCAGGAAGGATAACTCATAGTAGATGAGTAGATTAGCTATATGTTGGTTCTGCTAAATACTCTAGTTTTACGGGACAAAAGAGTATGCTTCTTTGGGAAATAAATCAATAACTCAATGGAAATGTATTCTGTGATGTAAAGGGAAGTATAACATTAATGTAGCCCAGGATCTCTGTATTTGCTGAAAATTTTCATGTAACTATATGGTTTATGAAAAAAATCTTTGTTTTATATTTAAAATTTATAGTTTGGGACTCCTACAGTATTTGCTGTGCTTTGTGAAGGACTATTAATATATAATGGTGCCAGTTAAAATCATAGTGGCACAAGAAGTGAAATTATATTTAAACCCACATGCTTTATTTTTGTCCCCTTGCAAACAAATCTAAAGAGTCTATATTCAGCTTATTTTCAAAACCTTATAAATACAGAACCCTAAAAACTAGTGTCACATAAAATGCTGTCATTGGCACACATGGACTATCTTCTTAAACTGTAAGATGGCAGTACAGACTGGAAGCCAAGGCTCTCAATTAGGAGATAAGTGGGTCACGTCACTGAATCTGTTGTATGAAATTACAGAAAAGCACTGTTTCTGCCTTATCTAAGGTTTCTGAATATCACCACTTGCTTATCTGCTTTTACTGCAAGTACATGGGAGAAATTTGACCTTAAATTTTTTTAGTACTTAATACAAACATTTAAAAATAAATAATTGTACATATTAACAAGCAAGTCTCATAAAAATTGTAAATTTATATGTAAATTGTGTGCATCAAAAATTAAAGCTAAAAACATGATCAAATTTAGTGGTTTCTAGCTTCTACATTAATAATGTATTATAAAATTATGATAAACTTAACAATGTTTTATTCTTTAAATACTTTTGCTCTTCATATCTAAGCAGCATTTACCATAACAAATGAATTTTGGAAAAAACAAAAAACAGATACATTTTGGCTTTAATGGTCACAATCTATTTCCAAAATATGAAATTGCTTGTTTCAATGGGATGTTTTAAATATCCTTTAGAATTTATATGAAAACAATATAAGGATAAATATATGACTAATCATGGAAAATTAAGCATACATTATAAATTCTAAATTATTTCCTGAAATATCGATTACCTACAAAAAATATAAAACTTACAATTTTACTTTCAACTGGCAAAAGTATTTTTCCTTTAAGTGTGGGTAATTAATATGCATTAGTTTTTACTATAAAAGAAACACGACCATACAGTATGAAGTAACCAGTATAGTAGTACTCTCATGAACTTAGTCACAACTTACATTGATTTTTGTATAGTGGTTTGGCAATTTTTAATTTTAAATTAATGTTATTGGTTCATTTCAGATATTCATGATTTATCATAGGGAATTTGTAAAACTTCCATTTAAATGCTATATTAATTGCTTCTACATACACATGTAATTTTTTCTGTATACAATGGTTAATTAGTGAATACATGAAATCTAAGAGCTCAAAGCTATAACAAAATTTTTTTTCCCTTTCCAAATTTACTATAGAAATTTAATGAAGTATTTACAACATAATACATACACATTTCAGGCAAGTAAATTAAGCCTTTGCTTCTGTGTTCTATTTCATAAGATCTAAACCAGCCTTTATAATGCATTTAAATATGTATCAGAAAACTATAAAACAAAAAGACTGAAGCAGTCAAATACAGTACAGCTCATTAATGATTTATGATAGTAGAGAGAGAGAGTCCACACTTTACGTGGCTAACAGTCCCCTTTCAAATTCTGATGTAAACACGTTATGCCCTCAAAATAGTTCTCATCCAGTCAGGATATGCTTTAGTCTTAATATGTACAAAAGCATGAAGTACATTAAAGAAATCTCAATTTCAATAATTTAAATAAGTATTTAGGAAACATTTAAAGCACCGGGTAAAGCTTTAGTGAATATTCTGTCACTTTAAAATGAAAGTTTTAGGAGAGGTAACAAAACGATTCTGAAAAACATCTGGCTTGTTAAATATTAGCTAGTATGGATATTTAAAAGCCACAAGTGTCATAAAATGTGCTGAATAACTTGTGAATCATTCACAAAGATAAATAAGCATCAAATGAACCTAAAGAAAACTAAATAGGCAGACATCTTTATGCTAAACACTCATCCTTGGCAGTTTTTATAAAATACATTTCACATTAAAAGTTGAAAAAAAGGTATTTCTCTACAGGATTAATAGGGAATTTAAAAACAGAAAATATGATTCTTAGGGTGCTAAGAAAAAAAATTTAGAATAAGTTTTCTTTTTCCTTGTCTGGAACTCCACCCAATATGACCTGGGATTTGTAAACATGTCCTGACTGGCTCAAAGACAATTCACTTAGCTGCTTTAATATCATAATGCCTATACTCTTAAACATGATCATTCCTTTTATATTTAGAATTGGTGTCATAAACATACAAAAGTAAGAATCTCAAGGACAAGCAGAATTTTTAAAAATAGCTTTCCTGGCACTGGAGATGTAATATCTCTTTCTAAGTTCTGGAATTAAAAACTGCCAAGATGAGGCTCTGAAACCAGTTGTAATTTTAGCACTTGAATACATCCAGGATGAACGAGCTGTAACACACCGAGTAATAACAAAACAAGGTTCTATTCCATTTAACCTTATTAAACACACCAAAACTTTCATTTCTCATTATACTTAGTTTTAAAATATTTTTTATACTTACTGAATAAGGAGGGGTAGGAAGTGAAATTTTAGAAATCAGCTTTAATATGTGCCCTTTTCTTTTATGAATAAAATGAAAAATAGAAATATTAATAATTACTGAGTTATTTTCATCCAAATGTTCACAAAGAGGAAAAGGATATGGCAAAGGCACTCGAGATTCAACCTCATAAATGTCTTCATCTTGTTCTTCCAACCAAGAGCCACTGAGTTTGACAGTTGTCAAATAGGTCTTGTAAGAATCCATTCTAAAAGGTAAGTTGCTAGATTCCCTTATTTGCTCATCCAGTTTCCTACTACAGTAAGCAGTTCTTTTTGGTTTATCAATATACTGCACACTGGCATAAGAATTTCTTTTTAGCACTACCAAACAAACATAATATTAATTCATAGACCTAAACAACTGAAGGAGTGAAAAAGTCCAGGAAAAAAAAATCTTATAAACCATAAAAAAAACCCCAAATCAAAAAACTAGCTATCAGTCATTATCCAAATTAAAAAATAAAAATAAAAAAACAACAAAAATAAAAGGAGGCAAATAACAAAGCCCTACTGTTTTAAGTAGAATAATGAAATCCTTGCAGAATGAAAATATAAATATCCAGTTGAGTCATAAAACCAAATATGCTGTATAATAAGCAAGCTTTCCGAGCAGATCCTGGCAGGAAGGGTCAGGTTTAAATCTCCACAGTACCAGTCTTGAGAAATGTTGCAACATCACTTCCCTTGTTCTTGCAGCTTCACCCCAATGAAAAGGAAAAGTGCTCTGAACTGAGCTATTCAAATAGCCTGGCCTGTTGAGCCAAAGGATTCTAGTCAGTGTCCCCTGAGGAAAAGGTCAGAACACAGGGTGTGGTTTCACGTCTTTACCTATAGGTACACTGACAGGTGGAATGCGAATTAATACGCCCATGAAAAGGCCTGCCCAACAGGATCCGGGTTACACTCAGAGCTTTGAAAAGAGTATTCAGACAAATTTACAATGTTTTTAAAACAAGCTGGTGTTTTTCCATCTCACTAAAATGCTTTCATTTAAAAATGTGAATTAAAGAATGTTTGAGTTCACCTTATTAAGCAGTTATTCATCAAATAATAATTATTTCTTCACAATTAAGTTACAATTTTTTTTTCTATTAGGAATAATACTTTAGGGCAGCTACTGTGACTAAATATAGATTATAATCTATTTAAATTATTATATAGTTATAATGTATTTCAAATGACTTGTTTATATGTATTAAAAGAAATTTTAAAAATCTGTACTGTATATAAATAGTTGGTTATGTCACTTAAAAGTAGTATATAGGAACCCTATGAACCCAAACAGTAAGCTAGCCTCTAGCTTAGTTTCAGAAACCTGAGCAATAGTTAATAAACTATCTCCTCAGAAATTTAAAATATATATAACATGTATTTACTTATCAGAATCTTAAAAGATAAATAACATTCATTCATTCATTCAGTATTCAGCCCAGATAGCCCTAAGCTGTGGCTTTCAGCCCTTTCTACTTTGATTTATTTAGTTATTTTTTTGGTACCAGGGATCAAACTCAGGTCCTTGCATTTACAAGGCACACAGTGGAACCACTGAGCTAAATCCCTGGCCCCTTTCTACTTTGAGACAGGGTCTTGTAAGCGGCCCAGGCTGGACTCAAACTTGAGAGCCTCCTCCCCCAAACTCCCAAGTAGTTAATGGTGTAAAGGCAAGTGATATAACTGGCCATAGCTTACTTTCTAAAATTAAAGATTATTCTTTTAAATAAAGGAAAAGGTTTCATTTCTTTTTTTTTCTACCAAGTAACTAAATATCCCAAATGCAAAAAGCCTTTATTTAAATGGAAAAACTCATGCTAAAGAAAGCAGGTAACATCAACAAAATTGTTTTACAGCCACTCTTGCTGTCTAAACTTGTTTTGAGGACCTGGTACTCAAACCTTTTACAACAGGCTAATTGTTAAGGCAGGAAAAATAAGATTTTTTTCTGTAGAAAGTCCAGAATGGGCTTTGGGAGATGGCCTGAGCTAAAGAGGGGCAGGCGCCTCTTTTAGTGTTTAGTGTCTTACATCTTTTAGTTAGCCTGCAAAGATGTCTTAACACCTATGTGAAATGGAGGCCTAACATTCTTACCACTACAGCTA